AGTGAAGCATCAAATTCGAATAAATCCAAAATAATTGCATAAAGTTTTTCTAAAAATTTAGCTCATCAGACTAAAGCAACTAAAGACAAAATATTTTTGCAAAATAAGTAATAAAATGAATTTATCTTATCACAATATATTTCATATAGGTTAAAAAACAAAATTGATCATTTGTTAAGTAAACTAAAAATTTCACATTTTAATTAAAGTTTGACTATTTAAATGAATACTTGTTTATTGGTCGTTTTTATCAAACATTGCCTCATTTTAAGTTCACTCATAAGCCCAATCGATAAGATTAAAATGTCCCCCTTGGTTTTTAAACGTGTGATTTTGAAATGTTTATTCAAACGTCGTGCTTCACCAAATTTACAACTGCACCCAAAAATTATACAGAATCACGAATAACGTGACATGAATTTCAATCAAATCGTACGATGTTTTAATTAACACCGATAAGTCGTTTTAAAAAAAGAATGTTATTTTTAGAAAGGAACCACAAACTTTTCAGAATGTTTTAAATTAAATCAATCGTAATTAAACCGTTCTTATCACTTTAATGATGTCATCAAATTTGTGTATTTCATAGTTTTTTCTCGAAAATAATTAATCATTTTTGTGGTGTTAAATGGAAATTTTATGTAATCACAAAACCGTTACGAAATCAAGGATTTTAGAGACAAATAAATGAAAATAGTGGTGTTATTAGGCCGCTCCCTTTTAGGCATAGTTTATATCAACAAAAAAGTAGAAATTGCAATCCAAACCTAGCAATTTTATTACTACTACAAATACACTTGTCTTGTTTATGTTTCAAAACTCAATTTGCATGGGAATAAATGTATGCAAAATCAATAAATGTTATTGAAATATATAGCGGTAATAAAAAAAATGTATTGCGTCAATACTGAAACAATACAAAATAAAATGCAAAGTTTGCGAAATTTCGAAACTAATCATCGTTGATGATGACGTCTTTTGACAAAGCGGTCGTGTTGAACGTGAGGTTTTCCGCAAACGTCTGCTAACTGCAATTAATAAGCGGCAAAGTCCAAAAGCAATATTGAGTTAATTGCCGAGTTGCAGTCAGTATGGCGACAGTGTTAACCTTGAATTGCACGCGCTCGCATTTTTACTTCCCGGCGACGTTGCATCAGCTGATTTTCAGCACATATACACGTCGGCAGTTGAACGAAAATTCGCGATCCGTACAGAATTATGTATGAACGCGAGTGAAACATATTGCAAAAAAAATTTGATAAACTTAAAAAAGATTGATTAAAATGCGCGATAGTGATAATTAATTAAAAATATTTGTTTTAATCAAATTTATTGTATATAAGGAACTAATCTAAATGGTAATAATATATTTTGTTTTAATAATTATAAAGATATATATTGTTTTTTTTTTATTTTTTAAAAATAAAAAAAGAAATCTTATCGCAGAAAAATATAAATACGATATCAATTAAACAAAAGGAAGATATCGTTCTAAATCAAATGCGGTTTTATAATAATGTTGATTAAAAAAAATTGATGGTAAACAACCAAATAAATCCCAAAAAAAATAATAATAATAAGTGTAATGGTCGAAAACATGGATAGTAAACCACAGAGTAAATATCGGATGCTCTTGTATAAACACCACGAGGCATGTCGAGGCTAATTTTAAAAATAACCACCCAGCAAACATGTTGTTTGTTGGTCGCATAGGCCTAAATACATTACCTCAATACTTATAATTGGCACCACGTCGATTCTATATCTTTATTTACAGCACGTGTGCTTATCGAAAGTTTGTGTTTAACCATTATTTTCATTTCAACAAATTTATTAAGTAAAATTTTTGAAACAAATTGATTTTGTTGTTGTTCTGTCACCAATGAAATTTGTTGCAATAGGTAGGATATTGAAATCGACGAAGCGTAGAAATTAATATTAACAGCGGTAAATTATCGACTTTCATCTGTTGCACAACTTGGAAAAGAGAAGAGAAAAAGAATTCTGGGCGGTTCGCGTTCGGTTTGTTCGTTCGCTGGGCGCACATAGTGAAACAACCTGTCGCCAGACCGGCAGCCATTAAGAGACGGGATATTTATTAATCCGTGACTAGGAAAACATGGAACTGGGTTAGAGGGGAACGTCCATTGCGACGAGGTCGTAAATTTTCACGTAACGGCGTAGTCCAACTTTTTCCCCAACTTCCCGATTTTTAAAACGTTTGAAATTTCTTTATATCTTTATGGTGTGTTCTTACACACCATAAAACTTTTAATGTATTTATCGAATAACCACTATATTATGATATCAAACAATTTCTAAATAGAATTCTTAAAATTTTGATAATTTCTGTTTATTACTATTAATTATTAAAAATTAATGAAATTCCAAGAATTACTTTGAATTATAAAGATAAGTAAATGAGTTATGACTTTAATTAAAGCTACAAACATCTATTTTCATACGATTTAGCAACATCAAAATGTTGATTATTGGAATGGGTTGAAATTAATAAAGTAATTTTGTTGGAAATCATTAAAAATCTTTTGGAATAATTTCAAAGATCCAATCCAACCCAACCCAACCCAACTTAAGATATTATTTTTTCCAAAGATTAAGTTTAGCTTGATAACCATAAAAATTGAACTATTTGATACTTTCTGTAAGTCGTAGTTTATCTCAAAATCATAACCCGAGCCCTAACAACTATACGGAGTGATTCAAAAAACCGCTGACAGACTTTTAGAATAGATAATACATGAAAAATTAAGATGAATAGTCTTAATATACATGGTGTCAAAGTACAAGAAGTCAAAGTTTCATTAAAATTAAACATAATCTGTAATAAAAAGTCCGTTTTAAAAATATTAAGTATAAAGTTTGTAGCTATCATTCTATTTTCAGTTCTTATAGCAACTAGTTACGAATTATCTCACTTCATGTTAATATTTTGACGATGGGAAAAAGTGTTTATTTATAAATTAGCAATGCGTTCATAACCGACGTGAATAGCAAAAATTCACAAGTCATTTTCCAGCTTTTTCATTTCAATGCTTTGGCTTTAACAAAGCAAGCGATATCTACTATAATGAGCAAGTTTTCACGGCTAATAAACTCTTTATTCTTAGTTTAGACATTACTTGTTCAATTTACATGATCATGCGTCACAAAATAATTAACCAATTTTTCTATTACTTTCAGTCATTTTATTACACCCACATTTAGAATCGTTTTCTTTATTATCATTAGAACTAAGAGTTTCAAAAAAAAGAACAACCTCAACAATTCATCAATATCTGCAAATGATAGATCAATATAATCAATGTAATGATGTTGGTATATTCGATTTTATTAAGAATGCTTCTGGCATTCTTAATAGCATTTTGTTATATACTATCCAATGAACAGGTAATGTACTGGTAGCTATATTCACCATCAAACGCGACTTTAAGCCTCGACGTGGTTTCAACACCTGCCTTAAAATCACTAACACTTTTCTGCTATGTTTCTCCTCTGCATTTCACACTTGCTCAGGGATATATGCTTTTGTCTTCAATAGTCTTTGGCAAAATTCCTCTAGGGAAGAATTTTTCCGCAATTTCATCTGTTGATGCAGTTTCGTCATTAACTTTTATATCATGAAAACCATGTTTTTTAATAAAATCTGTCATCTCAATCTCTCTGCTTAGCTCTTTTTCGTGAATCTGTTTATAAAGGCGTGGTATTTGCTTGATGGCATTTCTTTCTTTTCTGTGCAATATCTTCTATCCATATTAGTAAAGACTTCCCTCTTTTTTTCTTGACAATATGTCTTTATGCAGAATAGACTTCCTAATAGCAGTTTCATTTCTTGTGATTGGTCTTATTGTAGCTTCATGTAGACCAGAATGTGTTTCGACAAACATAGGACCTTGTCTGTTTGTAATACAAAATTTGAAATTTAAGCTCTAAAGAGACCACTTTCCTTTTTCTTTTAACTGTTAATGAATTATACGACATTTTATAAAGACTCCTGAAAAACTTAAACGTGCATTAACGAATTAATAAAGGGATAGGAAAAAAATTTATATTTCATGTCAATGAAGCGGATTTCAAAACTAGTGGAAATCAACATAACAAAGTATATTTTTTATTATAATTTGGTAATGTACTTTGTGCAAAAAGAAAGATATGAGCGATATCGAGGTCGCATCTGTAATGTGGAAAGATAACAGAAGTAGAACATTACTCTCTACTTTTGCTGGGAAAATTCCTGTTACAAAAATAAGTCGCCTAACAATTATCGAATGTCATTTGATAGATCTTGTTAGTATTTGTGCTCTCTTACATTTTAACGTCAGCGTTTCATGTCAAAATAATCACCTTCTCTTATTCCTCAGATAGAGGATGTTACACAAGCAACCTCAACATATACTAGCGTAGGTAGAAATCTTGCAGTTTGAAAATGATTTCTAGTATATTATCAGACCTACGAATCTTTAAACACTACATTTGTGTTATACAGGTTAATGTATTAAGAGTTAAATTGCAGTTTGCATTAAAGACTTTAAGTCTCACCGTTTCAACGACTCCACCATGCTCCCTTTTGCTTTTCGTTGATCATGTCGTAATTCTGACTTTGGAACAAACAATCATGCAACCCACTTACCTCTAGTACATCTGTGTATCAATTTATTGAAAGAATTCTCAAATTTGAATGCCTAGTACAATAAGAGTGTACAACATTAGATGCATGCATTCTAGTTAGCAGCTAGAATTAAGATTTTTAGCCACTTTCTAATTCTAATTGTTTACAATAAACTACAGAAATATGAGTTATATATATTTCAATCTATACATGTAACATGACTCCAACATCATATAAATAATGTAAATTCTATTTCTATTTCTTTATATAGTACTGACAAATTTATGGTATTAATTATTATTAATAAATTATTTATTACTTCAAGAAATTACTGTGAAAATATTTTATTAAAAATGTTTCATTTTTATTTCAGGAACCTATAACAGTAATCAAAAAGATTGACGATGTAAGACTTTTAGAATCTAGGAAGTCTGCCAGATTGGCTGACCAGGACACTGATTTCGCCAGGTTAGCTGACATGGCTGGTGATCGAAAAAGAGCCGCTTCAAATACCATTGATGTTCCACTGCCATCCAATCATCACAAGTAAGTTTCTATTTTTATTTTATTCTATTTGATTTTATTCCCCAACAAAAGTACCGAATAAATCCTCTTAACCTACTAAATTCAAGCTTGAATAGCTAAAGGGGTATTACTACATCTCCTTATAAATCTAAGGTTAAAAGGTCGAATTCTAAATTCTACACAAAGTCTGACACTGTGTAACAAATCCACAAGTGGTACGTCTAGAAAGCAGGCTAAGTTAATTATTCATTCTCTTCGAATTTCGTTCCGGCAAACGCAACTTCGTGTAGCATTCCTCTCGCAATTAAAAAGAGAAAGCTTTATTATCCAATTCGGCGAGAATTGCGGATCGAAACCACCATTATTTTCCCTCCAAAACATCATCTATTGTGCGAGTGTGTGTCTATTATTATTTTTTTATTGTTTTCTTTTCTTCATTCAATTAAGAGTATCCTACACGCCAATTCGCCTTGGTTATTCCTTCAGTTACTTATAACACTTTTACACTTTTTTTCCGCGCAACAAACGAAATTGCTTATACTCTCGCCTTTCTAACCAAAAAATTAGAGGCGGTTCTCGGAGGATCTACGAGGAATTCGACTTTCACGAGGTAACCGTTCGGTTCTCTCGCGCGCGGTTCCCTTTCTAAAAGATTAATAAATCGCACGCCACGCTTTGCGTACAATCGAAACTTTCGCATTGTGTAATCGGATACTGATAAAATCAACAGCGAAAAATTAAATTTTATATGAATCTTAACTAAATACAATTAGACGTTAAATCATTTTTATAATTGAGTTATAAAAGTATTGAAGAAGTATTTGTTGTTCGATTTGGGTTAATTAAAAAGAAATCTTCTTTTTAATTTGTAATGATTGAAGATGGGTATTTAGTGTGATTAAGGTGAGAGGTTAAAACGTAGGCCAGAAAATTCGAGAACGTGATTTGCCGGGTATACACAAAAGTGAAAGTAGAATGGAACGCTGAGGTTCGCAAAACACGACCTTATCTAATCTCCTTATAATTACTTTGGACGCTTTGAGGGAAGGCGATTTAACATAACAATTTTGTGATTGCACTTTCAAAATGTCACAGGTTGATCGAAGAATTGTTGTTTATATATATTTAAGAAACCATTTCAAAACATCATTAATTAAACAAATTACGTAGAACTTTATGAAATATTTATATCTGCTGAATAATTCATAACTCGAGTTCCACCGATTATTAATTATTAAATATTTATTAATGACTACTGTCTTGGTTAGCAATTATAAATAATAATAATTCGTGTGTTATCGAATTTCCAAATCGATTTCTACCTGTTCTATTTAGTATGTGCGTGCTCAATCCAAACCAGTTGAAAAGCACAATTTCCTGCTAATGCAGGAACCGTTACGCTGCTACCATTAGACAAGGAGCGGTTCTATTGCTCAGATTACAGGTTTCGCGGTGGAAAATTTAATTTGAGTATGAACGTACTGTTTCTAGTACTATGTCATTTTCTTTTTCATAGTTTTTTACAGTACATTTCACTCCCTTTTTTATTTTCAATCTCATAAACTATATATTAAAGGTAAAAATAGTTTTTTTGTAACCACAGTTCAATAATGTTATTCCCAGAAAAAAATCTTCCTATACTATTATCTATACGATCACAAAACCTAAAGTAATTTTCTACAATTATCTCGGTAATTTACCGCCGTTCGTTTCCAAGCTGTCGTTTCTTCGAATCCCATATGAATCTGTACACACATTATGAATATTCCTAAATTACCTATTCATTTTCTAATTGTATTCTGCAATTCATTATTTTTTTTTCTCGTGTTGCAGCAATCGAAAAAGAACGTCCAGTTTTTGCCAGGATCGCGTTTCATCTCCAAACCCCATGGATGATTGTAGCGCGGCTATGGTTTTGCTGTATTTATCAGCATCGCCTCCATACGCTCACGGTAAGCAACGAAATTTTCAAAGCGTTTCAAAACGTTTTTTAAAATGAGAACAAATCGAAAAAGTGGGTTAATACGAAAAAGTGAAAGATCACAAGAAATTGACGCAAAACTATTGAGAAATCGTTGTTGTGTCGCGTGATATTAAAACGAGATTACGTAATAAACATTTTCTAGGTCAAAAATTAAGAGAGAAAAAAAACCAACATGAGAAGATTTACTTTTAACTTTTAAGATTTATATTTATGGTTTAACTAAAAATTGAAAGTTAAAATGAAAGTTCTAATTTTATTTTAATTGTGATTGAAAATTAATCGAAAAAAAAATAATTAAACGCGTTTTAAGCGATTTTATTTGGATCGATCCACTTGTTGCACCTGATACTATTTCGAAATTGAAACTTGAGCCGTGCATAAAGCTAAAATCGTTCGAATCGATGTCGTAATATTTTGGTTTATTACGACATTAATAAACGATTGAAAGGTAATCATTAACATCGAAAGATAATCTTTAATTAAACTCAATTCGAAAATTTTATTCTTTCTGTATCTAGTTTTTGTTGAATAAAAACAATCTAGCGCTGAATATCAACTAAAACTAGAGCTAACACTAGCATTAAAATTAACACTAGACTTAGAACTAGAAATATTCGAGTTTAGCTGAACGTCTCTCAAGATGGCTAAACCCGAATGTTTCTAGTTCTAGGTCTAATGTTAGTACTAGTTTTAGTTCAACAAAAATATACAACAATTTAGCGCTGAATAACAATAAAACTAGAATTAACACTAGACTTAGAACCCGAAACTTTCTTGTTCTAGGTCTAGTGTTAGTTCTAGTTTTAGTCCATTACAAATTTGCAACAACTTGGCGCTGATTAACAACTAGAACTAAGACTAACAGTGTCATTAGAACAAATAGTAGATCTAAAACTAGAAACATTCGAGTTTAGCCGAACGTCTCTCAAGACGGCTAAACCCGAATGTTTCTAGTTTTAGGTCTAGTGAGTTCTAGCGATAGTGTAAAACTAGAACTAACACTAGACCTAGAACTTGAAACATTCGGGTTTAGCCGAACGTCTCTCAAGACGGCTAAACCCGAACGTTTCTAGTTCTAGGTCTAGTGTTAGTTCTAGTTTTAGTTCAACAAAAGTATGCAACAATTTAGCGCTGAACAACAATAAAACTAGAACTAATACTAGACCTAGAACTAGAAACGTTCGGCTAAACCCAAAGGTTTCTTGTTCTAGGTCTAGTGTTAGTTCTAGTTTTAGTTCACTACAAATTTGCAACAACTTGACGCTGATTAACAACTAGATCTAACACTAACACTGTCATTAGAACTAACACTACCCTTAAAACTAGAAATATTCGGGTTTAGCCAAACGTTTCTTAAGACGGCTAAACCCGAATGTTTCTAGTTTTAGGTCTAGTGTTAGTTTTACTGACAGTGTTAGTGTAAAATTAGAACTAACACTATTCCTAAAACTAGAAACATTCGGATTTTCTTCAAGATGAAAATATACAACAACCTAATTTTTAATAACATTAATTTGTTTTAATATCAATAATAACAAAATATTTTTTGTTGTTGTAACTTGAGTTATAAAACATTTACGGTGTACATATAAACAATAGGACGTCATTGGCACATGTGTCTATACGGCCACGTGTCGGCGAAACTCGCCGGTTTCCAAGGCCTGATGTGGTGTAGAAACAACGTTCCAAATATACCGCAATCCGCAGAGCCAGAACACTCGGCACTTCTATTCACGATTCCCCCACTTTTTACTTACTATTAATTTTTTTATCTCCTCGTTCCTTTCTTCTTGTTCAATTAAACTAGCGGTAATCGACCGTGTACAACAAATAACCAAAGCAAAAAGAAATGTTTATGACCGTATCTGTGAAATCGTTAATAAAGGTATAATCAAATTATTAAATATTAAAAATGAAATTTAATAAAAAATGTATCAAATTTATCTTTGTGAATATGAATTTGTTGATTCATTAAAAAAATTAAACAAATAGAACGCAATGATTCACGGGTTCTTTGTTTTCTGACCGCGAACTTAAAACGTAAAATGGCAAAATGGGTTAACGATGCATCAACAACAACGTTGCTTTTGTCTTAACGTTTTTATTTTTATTTATAATTTTCTTTTTTTTGCAATACATACAAAAGTATAAACCATGTTATTAATAATTACTACGTGTGTCGGTCCGCTTTGTCTACGTTCGGACAATGGCTCATTACCATGAGGTGTTATTGAACCGAATTCCCTAGGCTGCAAAATTGGTTTTTTAAATTGGTTCGGTTACCCATCGAGGTCTTTGCCCGGTGACGACGAGACGCCCGATTAGGTACCGGTTTTTTTTTTTTTGGTATTTTTAGGAGAACCCACAACTGAAACGGTCAACGATTACTAAAAGACTTTTTCGGGGCTTCATTAAAGAAAATAGATTAAATTACGTTTTCTTCGTGTTAATTTTATTTTAAAAACATCACTATAAATTTCGATAAAGATTTAATTTGCTTATTTACAGAATTATCTCCTGGTAGCAGTAGCTCAAATTCATCGAGATCAACACCATCTCCACCTTCACCACACGAAAGTCAATTACTATATATGGACAGTAGTCCAGATGAAGGAGTTTTTATGGAGTCAGATATGCCAAAAAGAAAAAAGAAGGTAATGTTTTGCTTAATACACCCAGCATTCTCCTCCCACTTCGTTACTATTCCAAGATAAAAAAAAATCTTTGTTGTGACGCTAGCCTGAACTATAAAGCTGTTAGATGTGGGCAGGCACTCCGTGTTTTGACACCAGCCAGTCTATTATTACGCGAATCCTGGCCTGGATCCTGCTTAGGTTGCGTCATTTCCCGATGAACGAAGGCGTCCGAGATTCGCATTTTTGGCCATATACATTTTGGGATTAGATCATTTGCATACAATCGGCTTTGGACGAAGTTTAAGTTTAGGAAGTCATATTTTCGTTTTGGCACACAATCAGGTGGGATAAAACATCTCACAAGGATAAACGGGACGTTATGACATCCTGCGAGGATATCATGTAGCTATCAAACTGTTTTCGGTAATCTCTAAGGTCGTCCAAGTCGTAAAGGTTTGATGACGATTTGGATTTTTATGAGTTAGTAATAAACTTGAGGTTATGTAATAAACGTTTTTAAAATACCAACAGCTGATTTATATGGTTTTTGGTTAAGAATAAGTTTTGATGTGCCAAGTTTTGTATCGAAAGGAAGAATGTTCTAAATATATTTAATGAATTACTGCATGAATTGCTATTTTTGTTACATCAGCAAGAATATTTTCGTAACATTCAACTTTTTGCATATCTATTAGTTATATATAGCATCTGTAATTTGCTCAGCTGCTTGTAGCTAATTCATTCAACTTGTATCTCGAGAAGATTGTTCTCTGTTGACTGTAGAATTTGCAATTTACCTGTTTCTTATAGAGAATTTGTGTTGTTGTAGCTTGCCATTATGAAGAGAACAAATTTAAGTTTTTATGGAAGGAACCTTTATTAATTTAGAGACATATTCCAGTGGAGTTTAGATGTATAATTCTACAGTCTAAAAAGATGCCTTGCTACTCATATACTTCACTGAAAACAATATATATCTCATAAGACGAAAAAACATTAATGACCAAATTCGTTCTGATTGTCTGAATCTCCATAATATTAAAGATTCAAATGTTTTGTGATGTTCTCTTTGTATTGTCATTTTTTGTATCTCGAAAGGCAGAATTTTGTAAAGCTTTACAATGACATACTGGATGAATTGGCCTATTATTGGAATTGTGCAGCTATTGTGTGAATTTGTAATTTTCTGAAAATAGTCGATATTGAATGTTTCCATCTTGGAAGAAAAAATATTGGGTGTTTTATATCTTTATTAGCTTAGTAACATCTTCCAAAAGAATTTAGGTGTATAATTCTGCAGTCCACACAGATGCATCTATTACACTACTATTTGAAGCTAATTCATTCAGTTAAACTGATGAATTGAATCAAAAAACATAATTTTGTTTGATTTTCCACTTTTTAGGATATTTATATGCTGTTCATTAAAATCAATCACTATATTTTTTGGACAACTACTAATTAATATTGATAGTTGCGCTTCGTAATGCTTGTATTTCTTCCTGAAAAACTTCCTGTTCCTGTATTTTGCCACTTTGAAAAAAAAACTTTCTAGGAAAATTGTTTTGCTGATATGATTTCTACATTTTCGTCAGTAAATATTCTGCTGTATAATTCTGGGCATCTCCACCTTTCTGTTCAGTAATATTATCCATAGTAATTACAATTTGTCTTGCTACTTAATGATCCATTTTATTTAGGACAACTTCTATCTCACCACACATTTTTAGGTGACTTGTCAAGTTCGTATGCTAAAACGTTCAAGGTGTTCTCCTTCTAAGTAAAGGTTAATGTTGTCAAGAAGGTGGGCAATTTAATTTCTACTTTAGAAACTTTTTAAACGGAAGGAAGGTGTAAATCTTTGTGCAAATTTATATTTTGTGCATATGATACGTGGCTACAAATATATCAATGTTGGGTTGGGTTTTATAGAAAAATAATTGCTGCTATGTCGACCAGTATAAGATGACACACTCTGCAAAGTCGCTAATTGCAACAAATTGCTACTTGAGAAACGGATATATTCTTCAAACCACCCAGTATAGCACTAGCTTCAGCAGAGCAAATATCTGTTAGACTAGATTTTAGATGTAATTCGATAAAACGCGACATAATGCAAAAATTGTAATGCTTAATCGCTTCTCCGAACAGAAAAAAAATGATTCTGTAAAGATACATTTCCTGTTGGCTTATTTGGACCATCTCTATTGCAATTCCATTTAACAAGCATTCCAGTCTATCAAGTATAGCTACCACACGGATATAATCTGTAACGGTATTTGAACGTCCCAACTTGATTAATTTCCGTTCTAATCCATCCAATACCTCAGTATTATATGTATTCTCTCATTCATCTATCGTACTTGGGTGCTATACATTTATGTCTTGATGAGGTAATGGAATATACTTAATATACTCAACATTTATAACAAAAAAAAAACAAGAAGAACCATTATTTCCATTGATGTCCATCTAAATATAACTACTTGCTACTGGAAGAAATCACGTTGAAACATGTATCTTGAAAAATGATAATCGATAGCAATACAACTTTTCTGGATATGCATAAATTTGTATGATTCAATCCCAACATGCATAAAAATTGTGTGCGTATATAAGTAACAATCTATTTAAGGAAGAACTACTCTGTTGATCATCTGGAAACACGTGGCTAAATTTTTTTTGTTGCCATCGGTAGCAGGACGAGCTCTGCATCAAGTGGCCGGCCGGCCGGTGGACTCCGACCCGGCGACGGTAGTAACAGCCAATCCTGCGGGCGCGTGCGTGAAACATATGCATCTTGCCAAGGTCCTGCGGCGTAAACAATCGCGCAGCCGCCCGCGAGGTTAAAATGTCAAGCGTTGCATAAGGACGTCACCGTACGCAACAGCACAGCAGGACGACGAATAAAACGACCCGCGGTCTCAGCTGATTTTTCACGTAATAACAATGTTTTACGACCAGTTTATTTAGTTTTTTTAATCATGTTATGGTTGACGAACACTCGTGATGTTTACTTTATTAGTATGAGTGTTATGGTAATTATGTTTTTATAGCATTAAGAAATTCATGTGTTAATAAGATATTTATTTGAAAAGGTTTTGATTTGCTGCAAAAGTTATAATGGCACGTGGCAATATCTGCTTGTTGTTTACGTTCTTGGCTAAGACCTACGTCCCCTCCGGCTGCAAACGTGCATTAAGTGCGTTTCACAAAAGTAACGCAACGGGTCCCAGTTTCGCCATAAATTACATTTGTCCTTGCACGCGCGGTTTAATTTACATAGTTCTACGGGCGAACGTTTCGTTCCTATTTGCGGAAGGACCTCTTTTCTGCGCACACATTTCTGCTAAATAATTTAAATTTGCATGTTCAATAACAATAAAGGTTGAAAAACCATTTTAAATTCTTGTGATTATTATGACTATTATTCAAATCGCGTTTAAAAAATAATAAAATTTTTTCAAAAAAAAATTTTTTCAAAGCAATTTACTAATTAGAGAGAAACTCTTAATGGCTTGTTCACGATCGCGTTTCTCCTTATTGTTCTGATTCACGGATCGTCGAAGCTTCTGTTTGGCGTTTCTCCACCATTCACCTGCGCAAGCTTTTGAGCTTTAAATAGACATTGGGAGTCGGGCGTGGGTTGGGACGGTTTGGGTTTTCCTTTCGCTCTCGCGATTCGGTTTTCCTTCGAAACGTTACCGCGACGACGTCGTCATCAGCAGTTTCACTGGAGCGCTTTCACTACGAGCTTCTTCCTTGCGGGTCGCTGACACACGCGGATTTATCCCAACGGGCCTAGAACGGGTTGTTGACCCCTTCTAGGCTCACTATAAAACGTTCCAACCAAGGGTAACTTTAGTTGATTTTTTTTCCTCGACGCTCTCCATCCCGTTTTATACGTTTTCTAGTCACCCCCAGATGTCTTGAAAAAAATTATGTTAAAAGACGAAAAAAAATTTTGGGGAGAGAGAAAAGAAAGGTAAAGTCAGGTATCTTTAGATGAAACGTTTAAGGAATTTCAGTCTGGGGATATTTTTTTCTCTAAGAAATGTCAACGACTTAAAAAGGTCGAAAAGAATAAAGTTTTTGGTTGGAGCTCGAGGTTGAATTCTTAAACTATTCATTAACTCTCAATTTTGCAAATCGTTGGGTAGGTCAGAAAGCTTTAAGATAAATATCTCATTCGTTGCAAAAAAAAGTAAGTTAAAAGAACTCGCTTGGCAATTAAAACGTTGATTTCTTCACGCAAGGTTAAGTGTCAAGGACGTTCTTGCATTCTTGTAAATTAACGAATGAGTAAACACTAAACAAGTCTAATCCTTTACGTTAATTAATATAATTAATTTGAATCATTTATAAAAAAAAATGTTTTTTTCATGAAATCACAACAATCGAGTCCTTTCTATGGATGATTAAAGAAAAGAAATACGTGCGTCGTGATTCGAAGAAGAAAACGGTCGGGGAATCATCCGACTTCTCCTCTTGGAGCATAAGATCTACTGCGTAGTTGGTCAGTGATCCGTCGAGGCAGGCAAAATGTGTTTCTCCTCGCAGAAGAGCAATAAAGAGAGAACTATAATCGTTAAAGAAAGAAGAGAAAGAGCTATCAGGTGCCCGACATAGATGGGGGGAACACGTGGGGGATGTTGTCCCTAAGCCGGAGCCTCGTTGCCGATGTAAACATTGGGGTCAACGTACGTTCTTCGGCACGGCCCCCGCTTCGGCCCGTCGAAGGCCCCGCTACTACTACGACCCGCGGTCTTTGTCTCGCGCGAAAACCACCGGTAGCGGCCGTGTAGCTCTTGAAATGATACTACTACAACGTACTATTTTAGAAAATGCGTTCGTATTAACTTTTTTATATAGTATAAAATTCTTGAAAATCGCCATCAAGGAACTTTTATACTTAGAGAAGTTACGGGGGATGATTGTAAAGCGGACGCTTTTGTTGTGTAAAGTTTTACCGCTTATCTACTCTAGCTTTAAAGAAGACGAGAGAAAAAATGTCGCAGACGATACTTGAGGAAAAGCGTCGCCGTCGAGACAAAGAAACATTTCATGGAGGGTGGTTGGTGGTTTGGGGATGACGTCAGCGCATGACCGTCGCGATCAATATGTTTACATACAAAACCACGTGCAGCTTTAACCGCTGATACGTAAGGTTTATATTCGGTCGGTTCTTTGTCCTTGGACTAGATTCTATGTTGGGATTATTATTTCCGGACACTTGTTATCTAAAAATGTTAAAAGATTCAGAATAGAACGCCCATAACGGTTCAACATTTTGTATTTATAATTTATAACAATATTATGCAGTAGTATCAGGTTTAATTAGTTATTGATTTCTGTTGTTATTTTATTAAAATTGTATTCGGATTAATTGTTATTGAGCATGTTGTTGTGTTCACTCAGCTTGGGAATTCCTCATACCAAGGGGAATTATCAAATATAGGAATCCCCGAATTACTAATATAGCATTATCAAATATAGGAATTCCAGAATTACTAAACATAGCTACAATAGGGAAAATACCTCTCCTTTGGATACCCATTTTATGCAACCATATTATGAAATACATTATATATCTAGAACGTTAGATAGCAAACAATAGAATAATGCAATAATATTGATTGCAATAAATTGAATTAGTTATACTGCCTGATAAAATGGAGACAAATAGAGAGAAAAATTAAAACTGCAATGCTGATTTAGAAACGGGACATAACAATAATCTAATGTTGAAAGAACAGATAATGTTTATCAAATTTTTAGCTCAATGGTCACCGATGTCGAAATGCAATACCACTTTTTTCGTCGTGGTTTACTACAATGTCTTCTGTTTCATAAACCAGAGTATCCCTAAAGTTTTCCATAAGATAGACAAAAAAAGTGGAGTCTTCAGTGTATAGGTTCAATCAAAATCAGCAAATGATGAATGCTGCAAAGGATATTGAACTTCTTACACCTCTAACTTGAAAGTAAACGTCAGTAAGCTTATAGATGACCCATACAATTTAGCCTTTAATTTTATCTTATACTTGTATTCTTTTCCTCATGACCACGATAGATCTCCAGGGCAGATGACTGCAGTTAGGTGTCATATGTAAATCTTTTTTCACCAATTATTTAGTTGGACTTTAATTAAAAGCTCGAACGTAAGTAAAGAAGTACAGTTAAAGCACAATAGAACAACAGAAAAAAGTTTTGTTGCAACCACATCTACTAATCTAAGTACAAACATCAGAATTGGCAACTTGTTGTTAGCTAATCCGATTATTTCATAGTGTTGGGTAGAAAACGATGGTATTAAGTCCAGCTACCTATTTGCGTTGTTCCAGCCAAAGGAATTTTGACTCATAATGAGTTTAGAGTTTGATTTGTTTGTTAATGTTTTCAAAAAAAGATCATAATGATGAGATGACTTACATTTTTTTTATAATTTTACTATCAATAGATGCAACAAAAGTGGTTGGCTAAAACGCAGTTTTTCATAAAATTCTACTTGTTTCTGTGAGGTTCGGCTTTCGTACTACACATTTTGTAATTCCGAGGCATTTTATAAGCAGATACGAGCTCTGCTTCACTCAATTTTTCCTCCATAGGGATGATTTTCTTTGAAGTTGGCCAATGTTGCCTCCACACTCGGTCTTCTTTTTTTACTTCCCTCGTGTCCAACTAGATTTTGACGAGCACAACGCAAACCGTTTTTTGGTCCATCATTTCTTCAGCATGATGTGTGAATTCACAATTACAATTAATGTAAAGAATTTTACACTTCTCATGATATGATGATTTGTGTTATTATCCACAAAATTCATATTTGAATTATCGTCCTTTACTATTTATGGACATTTAATGATATTCTTAGGCCAACCATTTTTTTCAATTTTTTAAAGTTGAACATGAACATCATCCATCGTTCTGGAATTTGAATCATCTCGCTTCAATTTCTTATCTTGTCAAAAGACATAAAGTATACCTACCCGATTCTTGTTGATAGATTTTTTTTAACTTTACAAGAAGAGTAAACGTGTTACGTGATTCTAAATTAACTGGCAAAAAGCTAGCAAAAGATAACTTATGCAAGAATCTCATATTACGAAGCCAATAGAAGCGCAAAATTGTTCTGGTTGCTTTTAATTGAATTTATTGCAACATTTTTCTTTGTTTGTGATATCGCTTAATTCAGAAAGTATACAAAGATGAGGAAATGTCAGAATCAACATCTGATTCAGTGCCAGATGAGATAATTTCAAATATCATAATTAAAACATCACTAGTTACAATAGAACTTGAAACATCAATGCAAAACGTGAAAAGCTGTTGGGTTACACTTAATTATCACTTATTCTAATAAATTTAGAAGTATTATCTTTAATGAAAGATAATCTGCATCTCTAACTATCCATTGACATTTTTAGAACATGAAATTACACTTTCCTTCGGTGCTCACTTCTTCAAACAATCGTTTAGCTGAATGCGTTTAAATATACAAGAAGTTTTTAACCTTTTTTCTCCACTAATATATTTCTTTAATATTTTCCGTTATAACCAATACTTTTACTTAGTTAGTCAACAGTTCCATCAACGTAATATATTTGATTGGCAACAATTGATACTCACTTAATATATATTCATATTGAATAAGCAGTTTATTGACACATTCTTAATTAAATGTTTAAACTCTTGCTATTGATATCTCCTCTGGAGTATACAAATAAATGTATCCAAAAAATATAAACTTAACGTTATAAGATATACATAACCATAACTTTAATTATATACAGTAAAGTAATTTCTATATATCATAATTTTAACCCTTCGCTGATTACGTTGACACAAGTAGATACAGAGTGGTTAATGTATATCACACACTTGCCTGTCATGTTTAATTTGGCGTGGGTGTTAACACTCCCTCACCACCAGATTAATACGTGCGCTTTATACCACGCATACGGATCTAAACTAAACAACTAGTTAAGGGTTAAAGTAGATCAAATACAAGCACTTTTAGTTTCTATATTTTTTTTCCAGTAATTTCTCTTTCTTCAACTCTAACTTTCTCTAATTCCATCAATGTTTCAAACGACATCTTAACATAATTTTGAATCGTCGAATTCTTTTTGTGTCAAAAATCCAAACATGTCATGTTGGATTTCAATGATTTTTCCTGAGCTTTCATTTAAACGAAAAAAAGGCATGAACATCGTGCGTCACGCAAAAGAAGAGAGCCGTTTTCTTCTTTACAGGTGCCGTTAGTTTCACGGGTAATGGTTGTGACATGACAGGGCTTCCGCATTTTCAACTGCGTATACACGCACTCTTTCACCGCTCGAAAGAATCAAACGAACCCGCCTCTTTGTATAATTTCTTTTTAACAAAATCGACTTTTATTAATTCTCTTTGTTACAAAAAAATTAAACGGGAAACTAACACTTGTTTAACGTGCACACCATAATATCTCGTACATCCGGTACAAAGACGCATACGAATGCGTTTTACTCAACGAACCCCTACGCAACCTACTTAGAAAACGAGCTTCTTCTGTATGACTATGAAGGTTCACTCATAAAATTTAAGTACTAATTAATCGAACGGCGCCAAGATTTCTTTTTTAATTTGTTTTTTGAGGATTCGAAAAAGCCCCGTAAGCATTTACATCTTATTTTGTATTACCTTGAAACAAAATTAAGATATGATCCGAGGACACGAGATATAAACAGCCTAAATTGATAATAAAAAAAAATATATCCGAGACGCAATTTTCGGTAAACAAACATTACGTCAGAGATGATTCTCACTTCTTTATCGTACCCGTTTGTGAGAGATTTCGAAAACAAGGCCAACCGTTTTATTGTTGATGTTGTCACGTTGTTATATTTATTTATAAAGAACGAAAATACCGAAATGATGTTACGTAAACGATAAAATTTCATACGAAAAAAAATTGTTTATAAAAACTAGAAATACAGAAACGAATGCCGTTTGATAAATAACTCGGTTCAAATTGAGATTTTTTTTGCTTTGTTTTTATTTTTTCGGTTCCGTATTATTTTTAGGGTCCCCCTACGTCGTCGCTTGGGTCAACAAACCCGCAAATTGTGAATTAATAATACGCAGCTACCGAGCTTTATTAGTCAACAAAAGAGGTCGAGACAATTTCAACTGAGGCAAAAATAACTACTCTAAAAAAAATCGAAAGAATAAATTAATAAATTACACTTGTTAAACGTAGAAATTCCTGAGGATTGCTTGAAATGACGAAACTTTGTTTTAATTATTGAAAATTTTCAATTTTTTCTGCGAATTATTATATTTCTTTATCTAACAAATCAGTTTTTCAAATTTTTATTGTTTCGTTTTGGTGTCAAATCGAACAAAAGACGTTAGAGACCTTATCGATTGTCTATTGTTTTGGAAACAATGAACTATATTGGGCGTTATCGCTACCTTATCGTGTACACACCATTATGTTACAAACTTATGTACTTAATAGATGTTCAATTTGTGGAATGTTTAAAATTAAAAAAAAATATTTTTTTTTATTTTAAACGAATAAAGAGAAATTAATTTGTTTATTTTATTGTTTTAGTATCCAACGCTAGGATTTCGTTGTTTATACCGAGGATGTCAACGCAGGGAAGTGATAGAAGATCTTATGTGCGCTCATGTACGAGATGAACACAGCAAGTAAGTCATTATTTATCCTCTCTGTATCAAGTAGCGCCATCTGCTGAAATCTATTACCACTAACAAACTAATTAATCTAGTTATTATGACTTAAATATGGCTTTTTTGAGTTATTAGTATTCCCACTGAAAGTAGACTACATCTTAATTCCAAAACGAATTAGAATTGAGACTTGAAACTTTCTGGGGTTGTAAAAGAACATTTGAGGTTGGGGTATACCAAATTTTATGTCTCCAGCTTGAATGGTTCTTTTTATAAAAAATGTTATTATTCGCCAAATTTTTATTTGATGTTTTTTTGAAGATGAAGTTAAAAATTTTTTTTCCAAAACGATTTAGATTTGGGACATGAAACTTTCTGGGTTTACAAAAGAACATTTAAGGTTGGGTTGTACCAAATTTTAAGTTTCCAGGCTGAACAGTTCTTTTTATAAAAAATGTTATAAATCGCCAAATTTGTATTTAACGTTTTCTGTTTATCTTAAAAATACTTTTTTTTTCCCAAAACGATTTAGAATTGAAACATGAAACTTTCTGGGGTTATAAAAAACATTTGAGGTTGGGTTATACCAAATTTTAAGTTTCCAGGCTGAACGGTTCTTTTTATAAAAATTGTTAAAAATCGCCAAATTTGTATTTGACGTTTTTTGAAGATGAAGTAAAAAAATCTTTTTCCCCAAAACGATTTAGAATTGAAACATGAAACTTTCTGGGGATACAAAAGAACATTTAAGGTTGTGTTATGCCAAATTTTAAGATTCTAGGGTGAACGATTCTTTTAACCAACCTTAATTTAACATTTTTTGAAGATGAAGTAAAAAAAATTTTTTTCTCTAAAACGATTTAGAATTGAGACATGAAACTTTCTGGGATTATAAAAGAAACATTGGAGGTTAGTTTATACCAAATTTTATGTCTCCAGGCTGAACGGTTCTTTTTATAAAAAAATTTATAAATCTCCAAATTTGTATTTGACGTTTTCTGTTCATCTTCAAAATAGGTTTTTTTTCCAAAACGAATAAGAATTGAGACATGAATCTTTCTGGGGTTATAAAAGAATATTTGAGGTTGGGTTATACCAAATTTTAAGTTTCCAGGCTGAACGGTTCTTTTTATAAAAATTGTTAAAAATCGCCAAATTTGTATTTGACGTTTTTTGAAGATGAAGTAAAAAAATCTTTTTCCCCAAAACGATTTAGAATTGAAACATGAAACTTTCTGGGGATACAAAAGAACATTTAAGGTTGTGTTATGCCAAATTTTAAGATTCTAGGGTGAACGATTCTTTTAACCAACCTTAATTTAACATTTTTTGAAGATGAAGTAAAAAAAATTTTTTTCTCTAAAACGATTTAGAATTGAGACATGAAACTTTCTGGGATTATAAAAGAAACATTGGAGGTTAGGTTATACCAAAGTTGATGTCTCCAGGCTGGACTGTTCTTTTTATAAAAAATTTTATAATGGCCAAATTTTTATTTGACGTTTTCTGTTCATCTTCAAAATACTTTTTTTTCCAAAACTAATAAGAATTGAGACATGAAACTTTCTGGGGTTATAAAAGAATATTTGAGGTTGGGTTATACCAAATTTTAAGTTTCCAGGCTGAACGGTTCTTTTTATAAAAATTGTTAAAAATCGCCAAATTTGTTTTTGACGTTTTTTGAAGATGAAGTAAAAAAATATCTTTTTCTCCAAAACGAATTAGAATTGAGACTTGAAAGTTTCTGGGGTTATAAAAAAACATTTGAGGTTGGGTTATACCAAATTTTAAGATTTCAGGTTGAACGATTCTTTTTATAAAAAATGTTAAAAATCGCCAAATTTGTATTTGACATTTTTTGAAGATGAAGTAAAAAAAATCTTTTTGTCCAAAACGAATTAGAATTGAGACTTGAAACTTTCAGGGGATACAAAAGAACATTTAAGGTTGTGTTATGCCAAATTTTAAGATTCTAGGTTTAACAATTCTTTTAATCAACCTTAATTTAACGTTTTTTCAAGATGGAGCAAGAAAAGTGTTTTTCTCCATAACGATTTAGAATTAGGACATGTAACTTTCTGGGATTATAAAAGAAACATTGGAGGTTAGGTTATACCAAAGTTGATGTCTCCAGGCTGGACTGTTCTTTTTATAAAAAATTTTATAATGGCCAAATTTTTATTTGACGTTTTCTGTTCATCTTCAAAATACTTTTTTTTCCAAAACTAATAAGAATTGAGACATGAAACTTTCTGGGGTTATAAAAGAATATTTGAGGTTGGGTTATACCAAATTTTAAGTTTCCAGGCTGAACGGTTCTTTTTATAAAAATTGTTAAAAATCGCCAAATTTGTATTTGACGTTTTTTGAAGATGAAGTAAAAAAAAATCTTTTTCTCCAAAACGAATTAGAATTGAGACTTGAAACTTTCTGGGGTTATAAAAGAACATTTGAGGTTGAGTAATACCAAATTTTAAGTTTCCAGGCTGAACGGTTCTTCTTATAAAAAATTTTATAAATCGCCAAATTTGTATTTGACGTTTTCTGTTCATCTTCAAAATACTTTTTTTTCCAAAACGAATAAGAATTGAGACATGAAACTTTCTGGGGTTATAAAAGAATATTTGAGGTTGGGTTATACCAAATTTTAAGTTTCCAGGCTGAACGGTTCTTTTTATAAAAATTGTTAAAAATCGCCAAATTTGTTTTTGACGTTTTTTGAAGATGAAGTAAAAAAATATCTTTTTCTCCAAAACGAATTAGAATTGGGACTTGAAAGTTTCTGGGGTTATAAAAAAACATTTGAGGTTGGGTTATACCAAATTTTAAGATTTCAGGTTGAACGATTCTTTTTATAAAAAATGTTAAAAATCGCCAAATTTGTATTTGACATTTTTTGAAGATGAAGTAAAAAAATATCTTTTTCTCCAAAACGAATTAGAATTGAGACTTGAAACTTTCTGGGGTTATAAAAGAACATTTGAGGTTGAATTATACCAAATTTTAAGTTTCCAGGCTGAATGGTTCTTCTTATAAAAAATTTTATAAATCGCCAAATTTGTATTTGACGTTTTCTGTTCATCTTTAAAATATTTTTTTTCCAAAACGAATAAGAATTGAGACATGAAACTTTCTGGGGGTGTAAAAGACTATTTGAGGTTGAGTTATACCAAATTTTAAGTTTAAAGGCTGAACCGTCCTTCTTATAAAAAATGTTATAAATCGCCAAATTTGTATTTGACGATTTTTGAAGATGAAGTAAAAAAATATCTTTTTCTCCAAAACGAATTAGAATTGAGACTTGAAACTTTATGGGGTTATAAAAGAACATTTGAGGTTGAGTTATACCAAATTTTAAGTTTCCAGGCTGAACCGTCCTTCTTATAAAAAATGTTATAAATCGCCAAATTTGTATTTGACGTTTTCTGTTCATCTTCAAAATACTTTTTTTTCCAAAACTAATAAGAATTGAGACATGAAACTTTCTAGGGTTATAAAAGAACATTTGAGGTTGAGTTATACCAAATTTTAAGTTTCCAGGCTGAACGGTTCTTTTTATAAAAAATGTTAAAAATCGCCAAATTTGTTTTTGAAGTTTTTTGAAGATGAAGTTTCTCGTAGACAACTTCTTTAAAGGTTATCAAAATTTATTTTAAAACGATTTTAGTTATACCTCTTATAATTTAATTCGTTAACACACTATAATAACAACAACAAATAACGTTTTGGTAGACGAACGTTTCTGTTTACGCGAACGAAATCGAAAATACAACGCGAATTCCGCGCGTTGTTTATCCGCTCGACGCCGTTTAAATATAAAAGCAAGGTTGTTGATCAACGAAGTATCCTTGAAGCCCCGTTACGAGTTCCGTTTACGATATTTTCGGGTGGTGTCGGTGGCCCTGGAATAGACAAACATTTTTTTATTCATGTAAAACGGTTAATTTATTTCAACTTTTTTTGTTGTAGTTGTCCAGGTGATGAAATTTTCTATTACGATGATATCAAAGAGGAAGATGAGGAAGAACACCATTCTACGCTGCAAGCACCACAACCAACGCTTTCGCATTTTGATCTGACCCGTCCGCCTCATGAAGACCCAGAGTACCAACGTCAACTTGTTGGTACGATTCGTCAGAAAATGATGGGCGGCCCGATACCGTTGGCGAACAAAAAGATGTCACCTCCTGGCGGATTTGGTGGATTAAAAATGTCTGCATCACCACGTCGGGCGAGAGGCGACAGTAAAAAATGCCGGAAAGTTTATGGTATGGATAATAAGGACCAATGGTGTACGCAGTGTAAGTGGAAGAAAGCTTGTACCAGATTTGTGGATTAAAAATGTAATCAAAAAGTAAGATTAAAAAAAACTTAAGGATGTTTGTTTCTTAAAAAATATTTCTTTACAAAAATAAGGAGATGAAAATAAGACTATTTTAAGTGATTATTGTGAGAGTGGAGAAGAATTAATTTTGCTGGTTATTTATTTTTACCCCATATAGAATGTTTACGTATTAGTATTTGTTATTTAGAAATTTAGAGTTTAAAGATTGTTAAACAAAAAAAAGAAAATGTAAAATTTTTTATTTGTAGGCAAAACGATTTTTTGTACCAATACTCGACGTACCAATAACTGAAATTTCTTGCGATTAGAGGGAAAACAAATTATTTTGGTTAAACTGGTAGATGTCAAAATCTCGGGAAAATGTGCAATATATCAATTATACGACAATAATCAACCTAATAATAATCATTAAACCCATTAGTACATTGAATCTCTTATAAAGAAGTGGTTAGTTTGAAGATGATCATAATTCCAATGTTTTAAGATTTAAAGAAATGACCTTTAATGTATTAAAATGTAATTAAATTTGCTATAAAACCCTTTTCATTTCATGCCGTTATCTCAATTAATTTATGAGATACGTATCTTTAAAGATTTATGTCTCTCAATCCAACTTTGACAATTATGGTTAAATTCAAAAAATCGTAACCTCAAAATTTGAAAATTTGAAGAATTGGCCTTCATCATACTAATTATTAATTAAATTAGCTATAAAATACTTTTTATCTTAAGTTGATATCTCAATTACTTCTTGAGATATAATTGTTTAAACATTGACACCTATGACTGATGTTTTAGAGTTCATTTCTAAAAATCATAACCTCTAAAGTTGTAGAATCGAAGAATTGACCCTCAACGTATTAAATATTAATTAAATTAGCTATAAAATACTTTTTATCTCAATCTGATATCTCAATTAGTTCTTGAGATATAATTGTTTAAACATTGACACCTATGACTGACATTTTATAGAATTCATTTCAAACAATCGTAACCACAAAATTTGAAGGATCGAAGAATTAACCCTCAGCGTATTAAATATTAATTAAATTGGCTATAAAATACTTTTTATCTCAATCTGATATCACAATTAGTTCTTGAGATATAATTGTTTAAACATTAACACCTATGACTGACATTTTACAGAGTTCATTTCAAACAATCATAACCACAAAATTTGAAGGATCGAAGAATTAACCCTCAGCGTATTAAATATTAATTAAATTGGCTATAAAATACTTTTTATCTCAACCTGATATCTCAATTACTTCTTGAGATATAATTGTTTAAACATTGACACCTATGACTGACATTTTACAGAATTCATTTCAAACAATCGTAATCACAAAATTTGAAGGATCGAAGAATTAACCCTCAGCGTATTAAATATTAATTAAATTAGCTATAAAATACTTTTTATCTCACCCTGATATCTCAATTAGTTCTTGAGATATACTTGTTTAAACATTGACGCCTATGCCTGGTGTTTTATAGAGTTTATTTCAAAAAATCATAACCTTTAAAGTTGTAGAATCGAAGAATTGACCCTCAACGTATTAAATATTAATTAAATAATCTATAAAATGCTTTTCATCTCAAGCTGATATCTCAATTAGTTCTTGAGATATAATTGTTGAAACATTAACACTCATGACTGACGTTTTAAGAGTTGATTTCAAAAAATCGTAACTTCATCATTTGAAGATTCGTACAAATATCTTTCAATATGTTAAATATTAATTAAATTTGCTTTAAAAAAAGCTTTTTTATTTCATACTGATATCTCAATTAGTTTTTGAGATACAAATGTTGCAAGATTGCTGTCTCTCAACCTAACATTTACGATTTATTTTGTTAATGAATTATTATATATTATGTATTAATGGGTGAACATTAAAACGCAATAAAATATTAAGTTTAAATCCCATTTGAAACCAGTTTCGACCAAAACCTAAAATAATTATCTCTAATCATTATTATGAATTCCCCACACACTCAGTTATTGGTATGTTATATTAATCATGTTTTTTTGTAATCATGTAATATTATTTAAAATTCAACAAAAAAATTAATTGTATAAAAGAATTATTATTCAAAAAAAAATGTATGTACTTACGATGGACATGGAATGGACGGATTATTAAAAAAAAATGTGGACAATCTAGTGAAAAATCGCAACGACTACTAGTATTCACGCCATTTTCATCCACCACAAGTACTCAAAGCGTAGCTGTGATGGCAAAGTAAATAAGAAAAAGATATCGAAAAAGAGGACAAAAAGTGTTTATATAAAAAAAGGAGACTTAAGTTACATCGTGATGGAGACCGAAGAGAAATTACAAACAACAATTTATTATTACAACTTAGTTTTTAAGTGAAACGAACGGAAATAAAATAACTAAATGGCAGGAAGAGACAGCGAAACGATCTCATTTTAAAACAAAAAATAATTAATAATGATGATAAAAATTATAATAAAGCAACAAAAAAATAAATAAAGCGAAACAAGTACAATACATTTTAAGTGTAAAAAAATTGTCGAAGAGCTATATCTGTGTTCTAAAAACCTATAATGTAAATCGCGACTTAAAGATGTGCTTGACTCTCCAAAGCAACTTTTTTTATTAATTAATTAATAATTAATTTACGCCTGTATAATATTTGTACATAGAAAACGTTATTTAATTTAGTATTTTTTTGTTTGAAATCATATCTTGTATTTTATCGAGACATATCATCAAAAAAAAATTATTATGAAATAAAAAATTAAAAAAAAAGAGCCAGTCGAGACTATTAAAATAATATTTCTTTCTATTACTATTATTAATTAATTAATTAATATTTTTTGGTTGGAAAATAGCCATCCATTTTAAAATAAAACAACTTTTCTCTCCGTTTTGTTAAACCGAATTAATTAATTAATAAGTACAAAATAAAATCAAAATTGTTTAACAAAACGGATTTAACTTAAAAAAAAACTGAATATTATAATTATAAGTGAAAACCGATTCGTTACCAAGAAAATGTGTGTGCATGTCGCGCTACTCTGGAAATTACCTCTGAATTGTTTAAGAAAAAGCTACCGAAGAAAAAATGGCCATAACAATTTATTAAAAAAAATTAATGTATAAGCATAAGGAATTCATTTAAAAAAAATAAAATCAGAAATCTTCTTCGCTTTACGTGATGGCTATAAAGAAGTAGTTTTTTAGTAAAATTCAAGTTCAGAATTGGTGTAAAAGTGTATATAAAAAACATATATATGCAAAAATCGAAAGGAGTTTTTTAAAAAATCCATTTTTTAAATAACTTCTTTCGTGAAGCTTGATTCGAGGCAATTAATCGCAATTTTTAAGTATCATTATTACCTCTAAGCCCCCGAAAGTCCCCCTTAATTGTGTATTTCTTAACGTTAAGTTTGATCATGTCGTGTTTAGATTTTTAATATATTTATATATCACATTTTACAAAGTATTTATATGCAATATACGTGCATACCTACCCCCCCATTACGTATAATGTATAAGAGATATTTTTTATTTAAGTTAACGTTATTAATTCTTGAATTTATCTTTTAAAAATAAACGAGATAAAAATAAAGTGCGTATATTACGAATTGTATTTTAGAGATACTTTTACGCGTACGGTACATTCTACCTATGTCAAAATTTCGAAAATTTGATTAATAAATTTATTATTTAAAAATATATTTCAATCTATTATTTAATATTACATTACATTACATTAATTGTTTAAAATTTAATAATAATAAAATTCAAATTTAAACTTTCTTCTGAGTCGCCATCTACAATTCAAAAGGTAAACTAAATTATAACTACATAATTAATTTTATAATAAATAAAAAATTTAATAAATTAGATCAATTTATCAATTTTTTAATCAATCAATAAGAGTAAAACATAAATAAATTTTAATTGAAGTTTAAATCTAAATTTTCTTTTGCAAGCAGGGTTACATCAATCAATCAACAGGTGGTAGCGCAAAAAACAATTTTAAAATTTGACGTTTAATCTAACCCATCTCTCACAAAAATTTATTTTTAACCCTTATCAACCCTTATTATCCATCATTAATCACCAAATTACCGTCATCGCGAACCCAAATCATCATAAAATCGTTATTAACGCGTAAAAATCACTTATTAACACAGAAATTCGGGTTACAAGTAAGCATTTAAGGTTATGTATTCGTAACCGTCAAAAATGTCAATTAACGTTACAGTAAATGGGAATCCGGTACGAATAAAAAGGGGCGCAATGGTCACAGCAGATTCCGATTGCAAAGCTGAACTGGAGAGACGTAGAAAAATGAGATTATCACAAGTAAGTATATTAAAAGTTAAATTTTTTTAATAACTTTCCTTTATAAAATCGAGGTTCGCCAACAATCGGACGAAATAGCCACGAAAGTACGACAACGAGTTCAAAGTGAACGCAATAAACAAGTAAAAAATAAAGAAGAAAGAGATGACGAACAATGGAAATTGAGTAAATTATTAGAACTTCAAGCACAATATTGTGATTCTTTGAGGAATTTAGGATTAGCACATGCCCAAGCGATCATTGAAGAAGCAAGAGAGGAAGTAAATAAAGAATATAAAGAAGCTTTGATGGATAGGTGTAAACAACGTGGGCGTGAAGCGGCTAAGAAGTTACATAAAGAACAAGAAGAGAGAGAAAAAGACAGACTAAAAGAATTGGGTAATAAAAAAAGTGAATCAAAAAAAACCAAGAGTCCGGTTAGGCAGAAAAAAAGGAGAAAAAAGTGTGAGAGATGTGATAGTTGTAGTGAAATGGAAGATATTCAAGATGAAGATGAAATAATTGATGTTTCTGAAAGTGATGATGATGTTTCGTATAAAGATGCTGTGAAACAATCTAAAAAACGTGGTTATAAAGCTGCTGTAAAACTTCATAAAGAGCAAGAAGAGAAAGAAAAGCAGAAACAGAAAGAATTTGAGGAGAGGAGAAAACGAAGTACAACAGAAGCGATTAGGAAAAGTAACAAAAGTCCATTTAGAAAGAAAAAAAAGAGAAAAAAGTATGATAAAAATGAAAGTGATAGCAGTGGAATGGAATGTTCTCATGAAGAGGATGATGAAGATTTCAAATTTGAAAATGATAGAATTAGTCCTTGTTTAAGAGATTATTTAGATAAAGGTATGTGATAAAGAATTTATTTCATGTCACTTAAATTGTATATGGTCTTGTTATACTTTTAAAATCTATTACAGGTACAAAAAGTAGATCTAAAAGTCCTAGTAATTTAAGGCGAAAAAGTCCTGATAAAAGTGCAAGATCACCAAGTCCTAAAACAACTCGAAGATCACCAAGTCCTAAAGTAACTTCAAGATCACCAAGTCCTAAAGTAACTCGAATATCAAGTCCTAATTCGTCTGGAGGATCATCAAGTCCTAAGTCACCCAGAAGATCACCAAGCCCACCAAGAAAAGCTGATATAATCATTCATCACCCTGATAATTACTTAGATAAATGTACAACAAATAGATCTAAAAGCCCTAGAGGTTTAAAAATTTCTAAATCAACTAATTCAAGAACTTCAAGTCCACCAAAACTAGCTGATATCATGATTCATCATCCTCCAGATACAAGAATAAGTGATAGAATTAAAAATAGACGTTTACGACTTCATACAGATACAATTTTGGATGAAAAAGTAATAGAAAAAAGTGTTGTTGCAGAAAAAGATGTTCCTATTAAATTGATGGTGAGTACAGGAACTTTAACAGAAGCAGAAAAAGATGGTCCATGTTGTCTTAAGTGTCGTTGTAAATCAAATCATTCGAAAGCATTCCAAGAAACAAAAATGGAAGATATTGGTACAATTACAGAGAATGATTTAATACCTTTAAAAATACATACAACAAAATGCGATTGTTGTCTTTGTTCTAAAAAGAAAGACAAAAAATTAACGGGTCAATTTAAGAAAAGAAATAGTTCGAATGAAATTCCGCCAAAGCCTACAGTAATTTTAAAAAATAAATCTAAATCTGATTCGGATAAAGCTCAATTTTATGATCATATAAACAGATTTAGCAAAGAATATCAACCACCTCAAAATCAAGTTCAAAGAATTCCCGACTGTGATATACAAATTGTAGATGCACAAAGTGATAACGAATTTCAAAGAACGATGCAGAAGCGCGATAAAGAAGCTCAAATCCGCGGGAAAAAAGCGTATGAAAAAGAAAAGATTCAAAAAGATTACAATGAGTTAATACAAAAATTACCAGCGTTGCAAAGACAAGAAAGAATGGCATCTTTGGCTGTTAAAAATGGGGATAATCCAGCTTTTCATATGAGTGATAATCGTCTAAAACAACAAGAATTAAAAAAACAGTGTGAAATGGAGGGTGCTTTTGAAAAATTATTTCCACATACAATTACTTTAAAATCTAAGTCTCATCCTGATGATGCACCATTTCAAGTTATTGATACAGTAGATCAAAATCAAATTCCTCCATATCGTTGGGATCTTAATGTTGATTTTAACATTGAAGAAAAAAATGGCGTTGTTTTGACGAAAGATGATGGAGTTATTACAATAAATCCAAATGTCTCTGATCAAACCGACAATTTAAAAATTATGTTAGAAAAATTGAAACAACAAAAAAGAATGTTGTTGGAGGAAGTTGAAACTTTACCTAGAGATAGTAATTTAGACAGTATAATAAGCGAATTAGAACGATTTAGAAATGATAATGAAAGAAAAAGTGACATCAACACAAAATTAAGCGATGATTTAATAAAAAGTCATAAAAAGAAAAGTCAAAAAGAAAAGTCGAAAACTAAAAAATCTCACAAAACGCATCATAAAGTTTTGCAAAATACGAGCACACAAACTTCGCCAAAAATTGAAATTCCCATTGAACAAAAATTAAAAGAAACTGATACGTCTAATAAAGAATCAAAAATCGATTTAAAAAAAGAAACGAAAAAGAAAAAAATTAAATCAACACCTTCAAATAAAAGTTTATCTTCTTCAAAATTAAATGAATCCGATAAAATCAAAAAGTATGATAATTGTGAGTGTTTGGGCAAATGTTGTAAGTGTGATAAAAACGATATTTGCGAGATTGTTATTAAAATTCAAGATGATGTTCCACAAATTAATATTAAAAGTCCGAAAAAAACAAAAATCGAATCTAAAACATTGTTAATTGATACAGTTTCAAATGAATCGATTTTGAATCAAAAAGAAAATGTTCCAAAAAAGAAGTCTGTTGAAATAATATCAAAACCGTCGATTAAATTGAAAAAAGATGTTTTACTTGAAAATAAAATTGATTCAAAGTTATCTTGGAGTAAATCTTTGATGAATACACCAGGAGAACCATCAACAAGCACATCTTATTTTAGCCCACCCGATTTTCAAAAACCACTTTCTGAACTTCCACCAGAAAAAAATAAAGAAGCTTTATTAAAATATATTAAAAAGCTTTTAACAATGTCTCGAAAAAGCGTTGAAAATTTAAGAACAAGCGGTTCGACTTCGCTTGAATCATCATTAAGTAATGTCACAAATACAAGCGCAGCAAGTTTAGCGCTAAAGTTGTTTGAAACAACTTTACAAAATATGGAGAAACAATTAATAACTTCTTCAACTTCAAGCAACAGTATTAAATCATACGATTATGATGCTTCTATTTCAAATAATCATATTAAAAATCAAAACGATGTTTATGATAATAAATTGGAGATTGTAGCTGAGAAATATGAAAATATGGTGGATCAATGTCATAAACGAATTTCGGGTTTAACAGCGATGATTGAAAAAGTACGCAAAGAAAGAGAACAAATTTTAAGCCCAAATTTTAGCGATAAAGAACCTTCGACGGCTTATTTAAACTTACCTAACTCTATAGGAGAAGAAAATAAATCATCCTCCTTACCATCCGAAAACGAAGAAAGTGACAGAGAACAAAAGCTTTTAAATAAATTATTATTAGATGTAAATATTAATATTGAAAAATTAAACGAGCAAGCAGCTAGATTCGATTCTAATTCGCGTAGTAGCTCTCCAGATAGAGATATAGTTGATGCTGAAGTTTATCACAGATTTAAAAACTTAATGAACGTCGAAGAAAACGATGAGCAAGTAATTCGCGATATGATCAATGAAAATTTAAGTGAAGAATTTGTACCAATGATAAATATACCCAGATTACCGAAATTAAGACCACGTTTTGCACCTTACGTCGAAGAAATTTATTACGACAAACAAAAAAAACCACCACCCGCGAAAGGTTTAAGTGCCGCTAAAAAATTTAATGGTGAAATTACAAACGTTCCGCACGAATTATCAACGATAGCTGAAGTTGATAGTCAATTATCAACAAAAATTAGTCCACAGAAACAAGATCAAAAAGTGATTAGAGAAAAACCAAGTCATGTTGAAACTGAATTTGACCCAAACAAATCAAATCGAGATTACGAAGCGCATATCTCCCAAGAAAGTGTGCCTGACGTTGTGGTAGCTTTGAAAAGTGGTGAATCAAGTTCAAGTAATAATTCGGATGAACGCGAAAAGCAAAAAAATGATGGAAGTAATAGTTCGGATATGGAAAATTTAGAGGCTATGTTAGCAAGTATGGGGATGGGTTGGGCGATTGCCACATTAAGAAAAACACAAAATGCACTCGTTAAAAATGGCTCAACATCAAGTAGCGAAGAAATAAGAAAACATTATAAAAACGCCTCTGATTCAAGTACGAGTGATATAACGTTAAGAGATTACTTAGGGAGAAAAATTTTTAGTACATCATCAAATTACGGTTCAGCATCGACTACTATGTCACCGTTTAGGCGCGAATTGGAAGATATTTCTGTGATACACGGATCAGCAATGAGTAGTGAATATAAACAATTAAGAACTTCAACACCTGTCGGTATTACTAATATAAGTGAAGGACAAAGAATAATAGGAACACAAACGATTATGAACGATAATTCTTCGAATGCTGATGGATTTGTAACTTTACCTGAAGTATCTATAGATTAATGAGTAAATTTTGTTTGTAAAATTAAAAAAAATTGATTTTTATATGTTTTTATGTATGTAATGGTTTTTGTTTATAACTTTTTGATTTTAAGACGATTTTTATATTGTATATTAAGATATTGAGGATATGTTGATTATTTGACTATTTACAATAAATTATTGTTTCTACCATCTCATTCAATTCAGAACTTATTCATATCTTCCTTGTGTATATCCATCCTTAATGCCATGTCAAAACATTTTCAATAAAGCAGTGCAATATAAATAGTGTTGTTCCTGGATAACTCCAAATACAGACCGTGGAAAAACATATTGGCAAAAAATCAAGAAAGTGACAAAATACAAGAAGGCTGGCGACATCCTACCAATGCAAGGATATCGTGATGATAGTGGGGGTGATATATTTATAGACCTGATACTGTTATGCCTAACTTTTTGGATACTCTCTCTTCGTTATATATTAATATAAGGACTAAATGTGAACGCGATTAACTTGCCTATAAGGAGTTGCGTAATTTTACTAATTCTAGCGTTCAAAGGGGAAAGAAGCTTTACCTCGAGTACATGCTGAATACCAGAAGTAGTCTGGAATTGTGGCGTTGGGTTCTATTCCTGAAGGTCTTGTTGATGTCGATGCTTGAATGCTTTTCGTCAATGTAATCCGGTTACTAAAAAGCGTGAATTATCTTTAGCCTCAGAGTAGGAGGTTATGGACATGTTGCTTTTATTTAAAACGAATGCGATTGGTTTCGATGGTATCAGTACAAGAATGGTACTGTGTTGTCCAATTATCTTCCTTTATATATATATGTCACATCATCAAGTATTGTCTTGAGTTTTCTGTTTTTCCAGATTGCTGGAGGGTTGCTTTGATACTAAAGACTACTAATCCTCCAATCATAATGATTTAAGATCGATCAGTATATTACCTGTAATATCTAGAAACCAGTCATATTATCTGATACCAGTCAGGTTTTAGAGCAGGAAGGGATATTGGCAGGGCCACAGTTCTTGTTCTGCATAACTTTTCCAAGGCATTCGATACAGTCCACTATAGAACGCTTTTGGCAACATTACTTTTTGAAAAATTTTTAACATTTTTTTGAACATTACTTAATGAATCGCAGATAGAGTGTTTCTTTTATGATTTAGACAAATTGATTCATCCTGCTTCCAAACTGTGCCCAAATATTAATCCGAATAACTCATCCTTTATGGTTTTTTCGAATCAGAGTTCAGAGTGCTGTTGCCCATCTTCGAGAGTTCCTTGGCATCAGTATTTGTGGTGTTAGTTTACAGTTCAGCGATGAGGCAAAGAACATGAATGACATACTTTATTATTTTGAGATACATCAATAAATATTCTTATTATTATTACTATGTCATACTAACACAGAATGTAGAACAGATCAAGTTGCCCAACACTTCCAGAATGAGTTCACTCCCAAATTAAACTGCGACTACGATGATCAACACCAACATTTCATAAACAAGTGGTACACAAGATTCCTGAACATGGCCAGACACGACAATGATCAAATATTCGAAGTAACTCCAGAAGTATATGACGAATCTTATAACCAAGAAGTTATTTAGCCAACTTATGAGAAGTGCACAGCACAATCCGTAACATGTTTAACTTGTGCATACAAAATTTCATATTTCCACCAATATGCTGTTAGCGGCACTAATCACTTCCTCCCACAAAGCTATAGTCGCTAGTAGCTGTAAATTGTTCATTTCAAAAATTTATTTCTCAAGAACTGAAATTGATCTTTCAAAACGGCTTTTTGCATTAAAAAGAGGATACTTTAATTAATAATCGAAAGTAATAACAGCGACAGTTCTAATTCCAGAGATACTAATTCCTATGAAAGGTGGAGTACTAAGTAATACGTTTTTAATATCCCGCCAAAGGCGAATATTTGGTACATCTTGCATTCCAACAACTAGGCATTGGTTCAGAAAATTGAGTCCCCCTCAATTCGGACAAATTCCAGATACTGGTCCCGCACTCTAGAATATCGGAGCTTCCACTAGACCTAGAAACATTTGGATTTAGCCGTCTTAAAACACGCACGGCTAATTCCAAAGGTTTCTAGTTCAAGGTTTAGTAGTGCTAGTTTAGTTTAGTCTAGAAGTTTTATTGTAATTAAATAAGACGAATATTTATGATGAAATGAAAATTTTTTTTATTATTAGACTTATACATAAGTTTTTTTTCTTAAAAATAATATGTACAAATGACTCAAATGGCACAAAGACATAAATGTTTCCTAATATTTTAGCTAAAACCATGAATATCACAAAGTCATTAAAAAATTAAAATAAATTACAAGTCGGTAAAAAGTGTAAAACGCTATTCACTATTTTGGACAAAGATTGCTTATTTTTAGCTCATATGAATTTAAAGCACTTCTGCTTATCATGCGAAATCCTCGTCTTAAATAATATACTATCAGCTCGATATTGAGTATTTAATAGAGGCATATATCCAAAAACCTAAAAAAAAAAATAAACCAGCTTAAAACATAATAAACCATTTTAATTTACCTGTACAAAATAATTAATACACTTGTGCCTTTCTTCAAAGTGAGTGTCATCCTCAGATAAACTCTGTGGACACCCAGGACATCGAAAAGTCCACCTTGATGTAACTTTAACAGGTGGCTGTCTTGTAATGTGACTAACCAAAAAATTCATGGCAATATCTTCGCAATTCATGTATTCATCAACTTTATCTCTAATCGCTTGCGGCAACCATTTCCAATACAAATGTAAATAATGTCTGTGTATAAAAGCTGCCCCCGTTAAAACCATGCTTAATTCACAACTATAATTTGAATTATACAACCAACTATTTTGAGTATTTAAATCCCAAGCGTGATATCGACCCGGAAATCCCACAATCCGATCTCTATGTTCTCTCCAAACGCGAAATCCAAACATTATTTCGTCATGACGTAAATGGGCGTCATCATCAACTGAAAGAATCGCTTCGGTTTGAAGATTATCCAACGGAAGAAATCGGTTATTAAGAGAATTTCTTGCCGCTTTTATTACATGAACTGGAACTCCAATATCAGGCCATCTCAATTCTTGGGCCGGAGCTTTAGGTGAATTCCAAACGACAACGACGGTATTTAAATAGGGTAAACCTCTCAATCTGGCGATTGAGTCCAACAAAACTTGTTCTCTTTCATACGTTAACATTAAAATCGTAAATTGTTCTCGAGGATTATTTCCACCAAGAGCTTCAGAAAATTCTTTCCCCGCTCCACCTTGTCCTCGCCCAATTGGTCTAAACCCAGTTCCTGAACCAAGAAATTTCGCGTCCGATGGTAAAATAGGATCTGACGGTAAAGTCGGATACAATCGAAACGGATCTCCCCAATCATTCCATATCTCATGACCTTGAGTTAATAAGAAACTATAATTTCTTCGAAAAGATGGGCTGTTATATGGTGGTTCTAAAGGACCCAAACTTTCTTCCGGTTCCGATTCTAAATTAATTAAAGCTTGAATTGGTTGGAATGTTTCGTTAAAAACTGAAACTGCAGGTACTGTATCAACCGGTAAAGGTGGTATATTTAATCTTTCCCGAAGAATTGCTATCATCGTATCAACCGTGCTTTGTACAGAAGCTAAATAACGCTCCCAAACAATTCTTCCTTGCCTACGCATTGCAACAATATCCGATTCGGGTATCGACCGTAACAAAAAGTGTAATTCAGTGACGCGAGCCCTTGGTAAGAAAATACAAATTCGTTTCCATTGAATAACCTCATCATAAGCCAGTTTAATTTGATCTCCACCTAAAATAACCGGAACAGCACCAGCACGAAGTGCTTCATAAGTACGAGCTTGCAACAAAGTTGTTGACGCTAATTCAGCCGATCTTGGTGCAAAAATTAATGTAAAAGTGGAGTCTTTTAATACTGATTTTCTCGATGAATCAGTTCCACATAAACCCCAATCTAAATTTCCCGTGTTTATCGAATCATCACTAGCCGGGTTACAAACGAATTCGAATAAAAATCGATCGTTTGTAGTCCCCTTTTCAATCTCTTTTAAATGATCGATAATAAATCTATCTAATTCTTTATAATCATCAATAAAAAATTGATATTTTTCATTTGGAGGGTTCGTAATAGTTTTTTTCACGTCTTTAATCTCCCCTTGAAACGATATTAAATATTTTCTTCGCGCCGGAATAATTGAGGGGCACTCCTGCCAGACATCGCCCCCTGGAGGCCCCAAAATAGGCGAAGCAATCAAATCAAACCCGTATCTAAACGATGTATAAGCAAAAGTCGATTGTACAACAATAGCACGACCCGTATCAATACTAGAAGAAATATCTCGTAAACTCGAAGTTAAATCACGTCTCGCTAAATTTAATAAAACGTGATTTCTACCGTCTCCACCCCAATATGGGAGTCGTTTTAAAGCTTTCGAATCAATTGGAGGACCATTAATTGAACCTCTTTGGTCATTAAATTCATCGCTATCTTTTAAAGCCTCACCAACCAAAACTAAATAAATACAAGCGTCTTTAGGATTTGATGTTAAATGAGGATTATAACCTAATACTTGTTTTAAAGTTGTTTTTAAAAACCCATCAACATCCCAACCGTCATGCATAACAGGAAATTCATCCGGATCGTATAAATAAACAGGAAATCCGGAAGTTATTGAACATCGGGAATGATCAAAACAAGTATACATTCGACAATTTCGTGCTATATTTCTTGGTAAAACCGGTAAAATTGATGGTAAAGAATCGGCTTTTAATCGTTTTGGTAAAGCTAAATCGGGGGTGTTACGTTGTAAAGCTTCACGTTGTGCTACCTGAGCCTGTTCAACGGATATCTTAAGTCTAGTTAATTCAGTCTGTTGATGTAACAACTCGGATTTTAAAAGTTCTATATTTTTAGTGTACATTTGTATCTCACTCTGCAATTTTTGCCGTTTATTCTCCATGTCGCGGAGTTCGCTTGAAACGGAACCTTTAATCCTGAGTAGTTCTTCTAATCTAGCTTGAAGATCCATATCTTTCACCGAACCGAAATCTTCTGGTAAATCCAGATGGGAATGCGCTCCGTGTGTAATACGAATCGAGTTTCTTTCGACGCTGGATAAGTAATAATGGGCAATCCATGGTATAACGAATAATACAACAGCCACTAAAGTGATGATTCTGTACAGTTTAACTTGGCGAAACACCCGCGCGATAATTTCAACATTATTAACCATCGTTTTATATTTTTTTATGTAATAACCATTGTCCCATTTAAATAATGGATTTTAAATATCCCAACCCAAAATAAACAACATAACCTTTAAATTTGACAAATCTTTAAATCTAATGACAGTTTGCGTCAAAAGCGACATCTACATATATTTGTTATAATTTAATCATTAATACAAAATTATTTTTAAATATTATTAAACATATTTTATTCGTTCTAAAATAATTTTTAATTTTATAATTATTATTTATATTAAATTGTAATTTCTTTTTAAAATTAATTAAAAGCGACATCTACATTTACTAGTTGTGATTATTAAACGTCAAAATCATAAACAAATATTTCTAGAAAAAACCTTATAAATCTTAACTTATTGACATGGCTGGGGCCTTAGCTTCGTCAACATCATCTGCAGTTGAATTAAGTTCGTATAGAGATCAACATTTTAAGGTATTATCAAGTATTAAGGAATAATAGCAACCTAACCTCACTTTATTCTAATTTAGGGGTCCAGAGCTGAACAAGATAAACTTTTACGTCTCTCCACCACTTTGTACGTTGGAAATCTCTCCTTTTTCACCACCGAAGAACAACTCTACGAGTTATTTTCAAGATGTGGTGATATTCGTAGGATTATAATGGGTTTAGATAAATATAAGAAAACTCCGTGTGGATTTTGTTTCGTTGAGTATTATAATCGAGCCGATGCTGAAAATTGTTTAAGATACGTTAACGGGACTCGATTAGATGATAGGATTGTACGTACTGATTGGGATGCTGGGTTTATTGAAGGTAGACAATATGGAAGAGGAAAAACTGGGGGACAAGTATTCTTTTTTAATTAGATATGAGGAGGATTACTTAAATAATATTATTTTTAGGTTCGTGATGAATATAGGACTGATTATGACTCGGGGAGAGGTGGTTATGGGAAGATAATTGCTCAAAAACTTGTCCCTGAACCACATTTTGGACGATAAAAAGAAGATATTTAGATTTAAACATTTAACAAATAATAATAATTTAATTTTATATAAAAAAGCCTTTTATTTCAAATTATGCATTTCCTAGTTCTTTTTGTTCATTCCAAATTTGTTCCATTTTGTTTGAATCATCATATCCATGCACAGCAATCATAAATTGATAATGTTCAGGTGAATATTCCTCATAAAATAAAGTAACATATGGTGTATGGTGCGGAATTATCCCTAATTTATGTGCTATAATACCTAAATATACATCATCAAAACGAAAAAATTTCACAAAATGACTAGCATAATACATATCAATTAAAGTATTTAAAGATAACATGTAAGCTCCAGCTGTTGCATACAGAGGGTATTTATTATAAGGATATTCCTCTAAAGGCATAGAAAATTTGCTTATTAAATTTCTCATTGGATAAGCATCTACAGCGTATCCAGCATAAAATCGACTCGGTTCAATTGATTGTATATTTTCCATGGCTGAATTTGTTAAATAATCAGGATATTTGGACGGATTTCTTAAATATCTCAATACATTTTTAGTTGAAACATAATAATCATCATCAACAAACATATAAAACTTAGAATAAGGACAATGATCAACTAAAAACCTATAACTCATTATAGTTTTTATAGTATTTGTAAAATATTCATCAATGAAACTTCCTTGAATCACATCTTTATATTTTTCACTTTCCACAGACACTTTATGTTGTAAATCTAGATCATTTCGCATTCCTAACATAAAAAACGTTCGTATTTCAACATCAGAAAATCGATGTTCATAGCCCCAAGTCTTCCTGATAGCCTCTCTTCTCCCAAAATGATCAATTGCTGATTTTATCACATACACCAATCGAAGTGTGGTGTTTTCTTGACATTTTTCGTGTGGGTTTTTTATAAAATAGTAGTTCATTTGATTAATAGGTACATGTGAAGGCGTTAAATGGTTCTTCATCTCTTCTACATACTGATAAATATCCTCATCAAGTGGATACGAAAAGTGTCTAAAACTAGTCGTACGAAGATGTATAAAAAATCCGGATATATACAGGATACAAATTGCGATTATTGAGAGGAATATATACAGTTTTAACTTGGATATACGCATTTCTTTGGATTTTAAGTATAATACAGTTCTAAAAAGAAAAATTTTGTTGTAAACATAACCACAAAATTGAAGATAAATCAATTTAACTTAGGTTCTTTATAAAGAATTAGATATAATAGTACTTACTTAATACTGTTTATGTATTGAATTAAAAGATAAAATCGAAAAGTTATTTGTAAGATAGTTGAAAATTAAAGGGACTTTGAGCTTTGAGGTTATGTTTGTATTCTATCATCCTAATTTAAATGCAAGTTTGTTTAATTCGTTGTAAATTAAATGAATATATCTTTTTGAATAAATTGACCTTTGTATAAGAATAAATTAACTTAAAGTTGCTTTAACTATGTTTTAAATGTGTTTGTTTGATGTTTTGATTGCTTTTAATGGCAATTCTGCTTTTTAGTAAAGTATTTATACAGGTGTCCGGTATCTTCCGCATCAGAGTGGAAGATTTATGCTATTTTTTGTAATTCGCGTTTTTATCCTTTTCTTTTCTTAAAAATAAAATAAATTTTGACAATGGAGGGAAATTGGTATGTAGCAGTTGGTAGCACCGTAACACTTGAAAATAGAAATTTGTTTTGACAGTTAGAAACTGTCAAAACACAAAATGTATTCACCTGAAAAAATGTTTCATGTACAACTCCCAAAATAAGAGAATTTGCTTAGAGTTCAATGTCCTCATTATTGTGGACCTTGTATTCGATGCTAAGAACGTGTTTAAACATCCATAGACAAACATTGTCACATTGACAACTAGAAAAATTAATGACCCAATGTTACCAACTTGAACTGGTTCCATAAAATGTTACTAAAAACCTTTGATTATATATAATATGGATTGAACTAACTGAATATATCTACTAACAAAAATGTGGCTCAAGGTGAATAGACGCAGATGGAAAGCGATAATGTGAAAGTGTAACAAAGATAGACATAAAACGGTACTAAACAGACGGGCGCATGCGCACAAAAGTGTCAATAATTTTGTTGTGTCACAGCCAGTCACACCGTTAAATTTAAAAATGTATTGTTTCGTGTGCAAAGTTCGCGATAATACAGTTTCACATCACCTGTAAGTATTATAAATAATAAGGAAATTTTATTTTATTTTATATTTTTTTCTTTTTTCATTTATTAATTTTGTTTTAAATTTACCGCCAAAATTAACGCACGCCCATTATATGTCAGTACGCTTCTATGTCTATCTCGGTTCGATCACCTTGCGCAAGCTATCTCTCTCGTTGGCTCAATCCATATTATATATAAGCAAAGCTAAAAACTCATTTCAGCATCGGATGCTGTAAGGAGTCTCATTACAGCACCCGTTTGAGTACTGTTATAGCTTTCATTACCGTCGCGAATTACAAAAAGATTATTTTCTATAAACAATTCTTTTTAAATAAGTAAATATATCATGAAAACATATGCAAAAGATTAAATTGAAATACCACATAATTTGGCAGCAAAAAATTCCCAAATAAATCATTTTATTTGATACAAAGAAAAGAGACTCTCCCATTAAAAAGCTTGAATTAGATTATACTAGTATTATTTGGAGTGGTTTACACTCAATTTCAAATTATTTCATGTTTTGACAATGTTGATAATTAAAGCTTTATAATTTCTCAAGCACAAAATGCAAAAATTTATTGAATGCCAATTTGATTATTTCTCGATATTTATGCATCTAAGAGCAGAAATGTAAAAGAGCAATATTGTTAAGAGTAAAGTTTGCTACAACTTTTATACTAAAACTTTTTCTCTTCAACTTTCCGTATTCAATGCTCTACCAATACAAACTTTAAGACCACGATTTTATCTCATTTTGAACCAATTCGATTTTTTCTCGATATTTGTGCATTTAAGAGCAAAAGTGTAAAAGAGCAATGTTGTTAAGAATAAAGTTTGCTACAAGTTTTATAATAACATTTTTTTCCTAAAACTTTCCGAATTCATAACAATACAAACTTTAAAACCACGATTTCATCTTATTTTCACCAATTCGATTTTTTCGCGATATTTATGTATCTAAAAGCAAAAGTGTAAAAGAGCGATATTGTTAAGAATAAACTTTGCTACAACTTTTACACTAAAACTTTTTCTCTAAATCTTTCCGAATTCAGTGCTCTACCAATACAAACTTTTTAACCACGATTTCATTCTCATTTTCACAAATTCGATTTTTTCTCGATATTTATGTATCTGAGGGCAAAAGTGTAAAAGAGCAATATTGTTAAGAATAAAGTTTGCTACAACTTTTATACTAAAACTTCTTCTCTAAAACTTTCCGAATTCAGTGCTCTACCAATACAAACTTTAAAGCCATGATTTCATCTCATTTTCATCAATTCGCTTTTTCTCGATATTTATGCATCTAAGAGCAAAAGTGTAAAAGAGCAATATTGTTAAGAATAAAGTTTGCTACAACTTTTATGCTAAAACTTTTCGTCTAAATCTTTCAGAATTCAGTGCTCTACCAACATAAACTTTAAAACCACGATTTCATCACATTTTCACCAATTCGATTTTTTTTCGATATTTATGCATCTAAGAGCAAAAGTGTAAAAGAGCAATATTGTTAAGAATAAAGTTAGCTACAACTTTTATACTAAAACTTTTTTTCTAAAACGTTCCGAATCTCGTGCTCTATCAATACAAGTAGTAACTTTACGATTTCATCTAATTTGCACCTACTCGATTTTTTCTCAATATTTATGCATCTAAGAGCAAAAGTGTAAAACAGCAATATTGTTAAGAATAAAGTTTGCTACAACTTTTGTACTAAAACTTTTTTTCTAAAACTTCCTAAATTCAGTGCTCTACCAATACAAACTTTAAGACCACGATTTTATCTCATTTTGAACCAATTCGATTTTTTCTCGATATTTATGCATTTAAGAGCAAAAGTGTAAAAGAGCAATGTTGTTAAGAATAAAGTTTACTACAAGTTTTATAATAACATTTTTTTCCTAAAACTTTCCGAATTCATAACAATACAAACTTTAAAACCACGATTTCATCTCATTTTCATCAATTCGATTTTTCTCGATATTTATTCATCTAAGAGCAAAAGTGTAAAAGAGCAATATTGTTAAGAACAAAGTTTGCTACAATTTTTATACTAAAACTTTTCGTCTAAATCTTTCAGAATTCAGTGCTCTACCAACATAAACTTTAAAACCACGATTTCATCACATTTTCACCAGTTCGATTTTTTCTCGATATTTATGCATCTAAGAGCAAAAATGTAAAAGAGCAATATTGTTAAGAATAAAGTTTGCTACAACTTTTATACGAAAACTTATTCACTAAAACTTTCTGAATTCTGTCTAAAATGTTCCAAACCTGTGTTTTACCAATAATAAGCTCTAAAACCACGACATAATCTTATTTGCACATATTCCAATTTTTCTCGATATTTATGCCGCTGAGAGCAAAAGTGTAAAAGAGCAATATTGTTAAGAATAAAGTTTGCTACAACTTTTATACTAAAACTTTTTCTCTAAAACTTTCCGAATTCAGTGCTCTACCAATACAAACTTTAAAACCACGATTTCATCTCATTTTCATCAATTCGATTTTTTCTCGTCATTTTTGCATCTATAATTGTAAGAACAAAAGTGTAAAAGAGCAATATTGTTAAGAATAAAGTTTGTTATAACATTTATACTAAAACTTTCAGAATTGAGTGCTCTACCAACAAAAACTTTAAAACCACGATTTTATCACATTTTCACCAATTCGATTTTTTCTCGATATTTATGCATCTAAGAGCAAAAGTGTAAAAGAGCCATATTGTTAAGAATAAAGTTTGCTACAACTTTTATACTAAAACTTTTTGTCTAAACCTTTCCGAATTCAGTGCTCTACTTACCAATACAAACTTTAAAACCACGATTTCATCTCATTTTCATCAATTATGCACCTGACTGGGAAGTACGAATCGGTCATTGCCACTTTCGTATTAGCCAAGCATTAAGCTTTTGAATGAGACATTGTTTATCAAAATCGGTTGAGACGTTCTTTTGTAATAATCAAAATAAAAATTGGAGGCTAACTTCATGTAGGTAAATTTATAATAGAACACAACTAATAAACAATAAATTTATTTATTTTAACATCGATCATCTAAAAATCCAAAAATATAACAGTTCTTCCTTCATCATTTTATTACTTCCTAATCTCATATATCACCCAATAAAAAAATATCACTTTCTAACTCATCGATCTATGAACGGTAACACTAGTTTCGAAAGAATTATTTAAACAATTATTATAATAATTAATGTCCATAACAGAAGGTAAACTATTTCGAACTTTAAATTTATCATTTTGTGGCTTTGAATGTCCAATTCGTGACCCAAAACGAAGAAGTTTCCTTGTTTCTGAATCGGCTGGAAGGACTTGTAACACTGTATCAATAAGTTTAGCTTGTGGCTTTCTAGGAACGGGGTTATTAATGACGATTAAAGCGTTTCTTTTACGTTCCAACGCGGCGTTTTTCTTCATTAGTTGTTTGGCTTTCTTGTTGAGCAAGTCTTGAGCTTCCGGATAATGGGATAAAGCGGCATTTAAATCAGCTTTGCTCAAGACGAAGAGATTAGAGTAACCATAAGAACGAACATCGGCTGTTCTCCGATTCATTCCGGCTATTCCTAACAAACTTATTTCTCCAAAAACACATCCTTCGGATAAAGTCGCTAAAACTTCATTTTCACATTTACCAAGAACTTGAACTTTACCCGATTGGATGATGTACATTTCTTTTCCAACATCTCCTCTTTTACAAATAATATCTCCTGGGAGATAAATTACTGACTTTAATTGTAGAACTAATTCTCTTAGAAGTGCTTCATCGCAATCGGCGAATAATTTTACTTTACTTAGAGTTTGAATGTGGACGTTTATTGAAACATCCGTTTTCATTTTATGAGGTAGACAATCCATGATGGTGTTTTCATCTAAAATAAGAAATTTAAGTTTTTATTTTAATGTTTATTTAACATGCAATTTTACCTAAAGTGTGTTGTGTTTCCCAAGTATAATGAAACCACAATTGAGCTCTGCGTTGCATGTCTTGAGGTAAATTAAGTCTTCTAAGATACTCCAAGGTCTCATCGACCAGTTTTCTATATTCCGTTTGTGATCTTGTCGCCGTCGCTATTATATCCCTTATCTGACCGATTAATAAGGCAAAAACGAACACCCCCATTAACCAAGAAAACGTCATAAAAAGATATTCAAGTTCTTGCGTTGGTTTTGGATTTTTTCCGATTGAAGTCGCGGTTTTTGTGGCGAAATAAAAACATTTTATGTAAGCGTTTCCTTCGCCGTTAAAAACGAAATTGTTTGAACCGATTCCTTCCCAAGCTGAGAACCCGTAATAAGCACAAGCGTTTAGATGGATTAGATACATCATGTAAAGGAGCGTTCGTGTTATTCTTAATATGTGTGGTGATGCTATTAATTTATCAACGAGGTCAAAAAAGTCCCAAAATGTGTGCATTTTTATTATTCTTGGGATCCTTAATATAACTTTTTGTGGTCCCCATAAAAAATAAAAAAAATCTAAGGGAAGAATTGATAATAAATCCATCTAAAAATAAAGATTGATTCAAAATGACTTCAAACAGAGCGAAACAGGAAGCTTTTTTTAATGAGCATCCTGTCCATAAACTTTTTTTGGCTTGTCAAATCGGATGTAAACTTGACTTGTTTATTAATAACTTTAACTTACCTTAAACCTTGTTTTTCTCATATAATTTTGTCTTGTAAAATTAAAATCTTTCATCCAAAATCCTTCGCTTAAAAACATAATTCTTGGTTGAATGAGCAACATATCAACGATATAAATAAAATCGGCTAAATAATCGGCAGCCATCCATATTGCTGTGTTTTCGGGTGTTTGATAGGGAAAAGAACACCTCAAGGGAATCACCCAAGTGTTATATAAAACTGCAGATGCCGCAATTGACATCCAAAAAACGTATACTTTTCCTTGAGGATCAATGACTTTCGTATCATAAACGTGTCGTATCTTGGAGCAAAACGTCTTATTGCTCAATTCGATTTCTTCTGATTTGGTGTCGGTGTCTTGTGGGTTAGTTAATTTAGTTTTTACAGCTTCCGCATCAACGGCTGGTTCATCTAAAGTCTCTCTACTGCTTATTGATGAAGGTGTTGGTGGCATTTGTATTCGTTCTTTTACGGTTTGTGCTCTAAGTGTGAAAGCATCGACTAAATGTCTTATTCTATCTTGAATAAATTGTTTATTTGCACCCCTAAAAAAAATTAAAAAGATTTTAGGTTTTATTTTTATTTAGGTTCTTCGTTTAAGAGTCGATTTATTACATCGGTTGCAGTATGCAAGGACGACTTCGCGGGTTTGTCTTGAATTCGTAATTTACGTCCTTTTCTCGTCGTTCGAATATTAATTGAGAATGGATGTAAAATTATCACGCGTCGCTCGGCGATTTGAATATTTTAACACGTTAATTTATTCGTGATGCAATTTTTATCGCACAGAGAGATGTATTATTTTTTTTTAAAACGATGATGTGGAAATCATTTTTTTATGGAACGAGAAGGTTAATGTACTAATTCATTTACGCAACAAGAAAGTATCTTTTAACGATACCTTTTAGATGAAAGCGATGAAGATGATTTAAACAAAAAATGAATGTGAAAGGATTTGAAAGGAAAAATAAAAATCTTAAATCATGTAATTGGTAGAAAGAAATTTGGAGATTGGGCAAAAAAGTTTTAAATGCATGAATCTCACGTGACTTTCAGTGTACAAATCACAACGCAACAGGTTTCCTTAGAATCCTTACAAACTCTATCAAATCTATTAAATCTATTTAATCTTACATATTAGCAGAATTCTCTGGTGAGGTCGATTTTCTAGTATCATCCTTCTTTTCCACAACGTTAATGATGGTTTTATTTGGTTCACTACACCATGAAGAAGCCGATTTCGAGGCTGTTCTAGGTGCCACTTGATCGAGCGCTAACTTTTCCGGATAAACCATTCTCTTGGAAAAAAAAAAATAAAGATAACTTGACTTTCTTGACTTCAAGAAAATCTTTTAGAATAATTTTTGATGGTTGGAGCTTTTAGATTCAAGTGAATCAAGCTCGAAACGTCGATTAGCCTACTAGGTTCTCTTACCTTCTTGAAACGGTACACGTTTTCCATCGTCGATTATTAATGCACCTTGCGTGTCATTCAGACGGCCACTGGAAAACGGCCCTTATTCGGTTGGGGCCCCACGGCGCAGTTGCCGTGACGACCTGCCCGCCTGGCAATCGATCGATACCTGGTGCGTATTTTTTGTATTTGTTGGTTCCTCGCAATGTCCTCCAAATATAGAGGATCCGATTAATTGCGACATCTGTATTCAATTGACGATTGGTAATTATTTCGTTTTTATTTGTACGAATTGACGCGGGTGGTCCCCACCAAGTGTTTCACTTCGAAAAGGGTTTGTTTGGCTTGAAAAGGATTCGGATTTTAATGAGTTTTATGAGTTGATTTATGATTGGGTGTGTGTGCTTATTGGTTTAGATTGCGATAGGTGCGAACGAGGACGTTTCACGTTATCGAGGAATAATTGGGAAGGTCGTTAAAAAATGATCTATTGATAGAGCTTTAAAGCTTAAAGATAATTTTGTAATTAGAATCGTTAGATATTGTTGCATAAGATTTTATTCCAAGGTAAATTCAAATCATTTATGATGATCAACAATTAACAACAACAATTAAAATAATTAATTTAATTCTAACGTGTTTTTAACATTTTATTTTTAAACACAATTCAAGAAGCGTAAAATATATATAGTCATGGACGTTTTAAACAAATTACATATTATTATTAATGTTGTGGGTTTCATTTTTCAATACATTTCTTACAGTTTTCTAAGGTTTTGAGAGATTTTCTAATATTTCAGAGCCTCAGGTTTAGGTGTTTCTGGATTTTATTTGAGATGTATCTGCCTTTTCATTAATTTGAGAGTATTTTCAAGAATTCTTCCTCGATTATTATCAGTACCAACCTAAATCAGCACACATATTCTAGCACCTTGGCCAAACTAGAAATGCAGAATTTATGATGGACACCATCATAACCGTAATTCAAGCCGAAGCAACACGGTCCACGCGCTTCCATTATAATCAGTGTAAATCAAAGCTAATCAACATATATTCTAGCACATTTTGATATCAACTTAAACTGCAATCTTTCAGCTTCATTTTGAGATATATTACATATCTTTATTCAAAAATCTGAACTCAGGATGATTTTCTGAATTTCTTACATTTTTGTTAAATTTCAACATTTTGATAATATTCCTTTGGGAAGCTTTTCCTCCAAAAATATATCATCAAACCCCATATTTTTTTAATCTTATCTCAAAATATAATGTTTTAGTTTTATTTTGAGATATATTATATACATAGCACAAAAAATTATATTCAGGATAATTTTTTGAAGTTTTTATGTCATTGCTAAATACGATTTTTGACATTTTTGCTTCAAGGATTTTTTTGTCCAAAAGTATATCATCAAACCCTATATTATTTTAATTACATCTTAAACTAAACTCTTTGAGCTTCAATTTGAGATATATTACGTATCATTATACAAAAAATTAAACTCAGGATGACTTTTTGAATTTCTTACAACATAGCCCAATTTTGAAATTATTTCTTCGGGATGTTTTCTCCAGAAATATATCATCAAACACCATATTTTTAATCCTGTCTTAAAATACGTTCTTTTAGCTTAAATTTGGGATATATTACGTATCTTAATACAAAAAATTAAATGCAAGACGATTTTTTGAAGTTCTTATATCATTATTTGACATATTTTCTTCAGGAATTTTTTTCTCCAAAAGTATATCATCAAACACTATACTGTTTTGATTACATCTTAAACTGCAATCATTCAGCTGCAATTTGAGATATATTTAGTATCTTTATTTAAAAAACTAAATTGAGAATGATTTTTTGAATTTTTTTCATTTTTGTTAAAATTTAACATTTTCACATTATTCCTTAGGAAATGTTTTCCTCCAAAAATATATCATCAAACCCCATATTTTTTTAATCTTATCTCAAAATATAATCTTTTAGTTTTATTTTGAGATATATTATGTATCATAGCACAAAAAATTATATTCAGGATGATTTTTTGAAGTTTTTATGTCATTGCTAAATACGATTTTTGACATTTTTCCTTCAAGAATTTTTTTCTCCAAAAGTATATCGTCAAACCGTATATTATTTTAATTACATCTTAAACTAAACTCTTTCAACTTCAATTTGAGATATATTACGTATCATTATACAAAAAGTTAAACTCAGGATGACTTTTTGAATTTCTTACATTTTTGTTAAATTTCAACATAGCCCAATTTTGAAATTATTTCTTCGCTATGTTTTCTCCAGAAATATATCATGAAACACTATACTTTTTGAATCCTATCTTAAAATATATTCTTTTAGCTTAGATTTGGGATATATTACGTATCTTAATACAAAAAATTAAATGCAGGACTATTTTTTGAAGTTCTTATATCATTATTTGACATTTTTTCTTCAGGAATTTTTTTCTCGAAAAGTATATCATCAAACCTTATACTATTTTAATTACATCTTAAACTGCAATCGTTCAGCTGCAATTTGAGATATATTTAGTATCTTTATTCAAAAAACTAAATTCAGAATGATTTTTTGAATTTTTTTCATTTTTGTTAAATTTCAACGTTTTGGGAAGCTTTTCCTCCAAAAATATATCATCAAACCACATATTTTTATGTATCTAAGAGTAGCTGCAAGATTTTTCAAAGATTTTAAAAATTGCTTGTAAATTGCAGGTGTTTCAGTGATTTGTTTGAGATGATTTCTAGAAGTACTTACTAATAGGAATACTCTAGAATTACTAATTGGATTCCAAGTATAACTTGGGGGTTTTAAGGATTTTTACATGTTTTAGAGGATTTCTAAGCTATCTAGTTGTTGCCCAAGGATTTCTGACATTTATTGGAAATCGATCTGTATTTAGAAGTACTTCAGGAGAATTTTCAAGAATATTTAGAGTTGTGCCAGCAAATACTCATGACTTTGTAGTTCTTATCTTTAAATTTGTTTTCCTATGAACGGAGCAAGAAAAAGTTGGAAATAAATCCAACTTGTTCTACTCACAACTTTGCACAGTGTTTTCTTCCACACACAACTCTTTGTGTTTCTTTTCAGACTGCAGAGTTCTATCACAAAACACTGTATGTAATTTAACCTTAGGGATGTTGGAGCGCGCTGCGAGGAGAAAAGATGGATCCCAATTATACCCCGGGGGCCTCTAATATTCCCCGGTTTCCTTTATGATGATTTTTTATTATAGCTACAGCGATATTTACACAAATAGAAAAAAAACAGGAAACATCTTTTGGTTTCCTTCTTATTGTTTTAAAAGATAATCCTCACACGAGCCTCTTTTCTTATCATAATTTAAAAAACACCGCAAAACGTGGTTACTCAGTAGGAAAAAGTAAAAGCCCCACCGGAAATACGGTTATCTCTTCTGAGAATAAACACGCGTTATACAGCTACTTCCATTTGAACTAAAAAAACCAAAAAGAAAGCGATAAAATACGTCCTTGATAAAAAAATGAAACAACGCGATGTCAAAACGAGCAATTAAACATTTCCTCGATAACGTCTGAGCATCCATTAATTCTGACATTTGTCAAGATAATGTTCCTTTGAAAGGGAAAAAGCAATTAAAAAATTAGGCGCAATTGGCGTTAATTACAATGATGCACGTTTATCGCGATGGTTTTCTGACGTTGGAATTACATGTTTATCGAGGAATACCTGTTTCTTCTTGGATTTTTTTAAAGAAGTTTTTAAATCCCGTCATTTTGAAGGGTATCACGTTTCGCGAAGATTTATCGGGGTCTCAGAGTTCGGTACGAGTCGGCATTCTTTGAACGTCTTTACTGCAATGGAACAACAACCATCATCGAGGCGTTTGTATAATAATAAGAAAAAATGAGGCTGTATAAATTAACACAATGGATTTGTGAGTCACACCTGAGTTATTCCATCGTTTTTATGAGTTGTCAATGCTCATTTTTCGTTTTAAAAGTTAAAGGAAATAATTTGAAAATGATTTAATTAAGTTTTATTAATAACTACATTAGTACTTAAAGGTTTTTGGTGAATCTAATTGCAATATTATTTATCTATCATATATATTTTCTAATTTTATCTTTTATTTTAATTTAGGTGGAAGTTGTTGCCTCCAAAATTCTTGCCTCTTATTCAAATATTCAACGGCGTCCTTAATACAATCAATAATTTCATTATCATTCTCCTTAAATTGACATCTTAAATCTGGGTGATTCAATAAATTGTCTAAATAATCTTTGTCGGCTCCCAATTCTCTTAATAACGAGCTTTTCTTTGAACTCGCGCATCTCCTTGTTCTCGATCTGGTTCGATTAGAACAAGTTTTTTCTGTTTTTCCGTCCAAAGTGGTTGGGGTCTTTGGAGTTTCAACTTTGATGGAGTTGGTTTGTTTGGTAGCGCTTCTGGAAGGAACTTTCACTAGGAAAGCTCCTCCAATAGCGTTTTCGATGGCTTTCTGAGCTTTCTGAACGCCGAGTTTGAAACCTTCGTGGTCTGGACGAACTTTGAGGCCTCTGTGATAGTACATTAAACTATGTTCGAAGTCGCCTAAATAGTACAAGGATTCTGCTTTTTGAAAAAGGGCTTTTATAAAACTTTTGTCCATACTCAATGCGGTTTCGGCGTCTTTTAAACCATTTTCTGGCTGACCTAGAAGTAGGTAGCATTTACTTCTTGCAACCAAAGCGTTTTTTTCGGTTGGATTTAATTCCAATGCCTGGAAAATAAAGGGTAAATTAATAATGAAGGATTTATTTTTGTTTGTTTTTAGTTGTTGTATTTGAACCTTCGTCATGAAATCTAAAGCGATGTTTAAATCGCCTCTTCCCATTTCATAATTGCCTAAAGCTAAAAAAGTACCCGGTTCAGCTTCTTCTGGGATTGCTAAAGCTTTCGATCGATCTTGTTTTCGTTTTAATTTTAAAGATTGTTTTATATCTCGTGTCCCCATGTTAACAGCGGCTGCTCTATCTTTATCGGTATAATTTTCTTCTTCTCTTATTCTGCTTCTTCTTCGTTTTCTCAAACCTTTTTTGGTTACCTCTTTTTCAATAATGTTAACACCGATTCTTGGTACTTTTTGCTCCACGATCGGTTTTAATTTCTCCATTTCCCCATTATCTTGTACATTTTCTGGTTTACTTACATTTTTATTTTTATTATCGGCTTCTTCTTCTGGGATTTCACTTTCGTCTAAATTAATTCTAACAAACCTTTGTAGGATTTCGTTATCCCTGCTGGTGTCTAATCGGTGAGCTTTCGGCACCGCTACTGATGAATCTTCCATTTTCGTGCGGTAGCTGTGATAAAGTTTTTAAATTTATTGGACTTTTAAAGTTATTAATATTGCACGATAACTTTACGGGTGTATTTTTGGTCTAACACTGCCCAAGAATCGACACTTTCCTAACCCGTTACCATAGGAACTCAGGTGTGATCAATTTTCGCGTTTCAACGCTTCAACTTTACACCTAACGGCGATGAAAACTCAACGAGAAATGAAAACATTCGATTTTTCCGCCTTTTTAAATCCTCACATGTGTTACGTGTGATTTTGTCATAAAACTGTTTTCGTGTGGAGTTTTATAAAAGTTTTTTTGTACCAATTTTTCTTTATCATAGAGGTTTAACATGAAATTATATAAATCATCGATTACTTTTGAATTTTTCTTATTTATTGTCATCTTAATACATCTTAAAGTTCAAGGTTAATCCTTATTCCTTCTTCGCGTGTACAATATATTGTATACTTATATCGGCCTTTCCTTAATCATTAATTTCATCCATAATCTATCTAGTTGCTAATGAGTTTTTACCATCTGATCATCCATAACTTTGTTGCGTTCACTCGCAACTCTTTCCTGTTGGTTTTATACTGACCCTAATCACGAAATAGCGCCTCCAACGTGACGAATGGTCTCCACGCCGACGCTAATTCTTCCACGTCTCTTTCATTTCGACGGTTTCGTGTATACGACGGAAACTTTACGAGTTTGGGGGGCCATTTCGTTGTTGGTCATAACGGTTTATGAAGGTTTATAACGAAGTTTTACTCCAGTCTTGATTAATACCCTTGTTGTTAATTACAAAATTGTACTAGGTAACGCAAAAGTTGCGATTATTAAGGAAATAAGAAAATTTAAAATGCTAAATAATAAAGATGGAATTAAATTTAACTTGGAAATACCACTTTTTTCCTTTTATTTTTAATATGGAAATCGGTTGAAACGTTTCCGTGATTTTACTTGGATTCGAACCAAGAAAGAAATATATCTTTCGATCACCCCTAAAGGATATTTGAATTTCCATATAGATGCGGTTGTTTTTTTGATATGGAAATGTTATTGGAAAAATATATTACATTAGAGTGTATGAATAAGTTGGAATTAGAGTGTAAACGAAAATTATTCTTCTATAGGATTTTCGAAAATTAATCACAAAATCCGATTTAAATTTAATCCTATTTTAATGAAAACTGCTTTTGACATCAGCCGAAGATTGAGGTTACACCATATCTTACAAGAAAGAAAATATATCTTACAGAAATTTTAATAATTTTCACATAATATCGGCTTTACCAAATACTTTTCATCTGATTCGACATTCGAATGAGGGATTTTTTCTTTCACAGTGTATTTTTTTAATATTAAGATATTACTATCTAAAAATGATAATAATACTCCGGATGCGGTTTTCTTTGTACTTTTACTGATTTCAACTGGCTACATACAACGAAAATAATAAAAACTATCTTATGTTGTCGATAAAATTGAGTAAAAATCCCATTCAATTTATAGCTTTTTAAGTTTAAGACAGTAAATTTTATCTTAACATCATTTCCATATAAATTCGTTCGATTTCGGAAATTAACCGAATTAATCTTTGGATTCGCTCCTTATTGTTTAATGTAGCGCTATTGCAGGTCATTAATGAGTTGTATATTGACCAGAATAGCACCATTATGTACAAAGAGACATAATTAATAGTATACGCAGATGACATCGTCATAATGCTGTGAAGGAGAATGCACACAGTTTAGGGTTACATATAAATATAGATAAAAATAAAGTCATGGGCCTGAAAACAGCACACCAGCTAAGACAAAGCTGCCTATCTGTGAAGCTCAGTAAATGAGACCAATGACACAGTACAAGAAATACGACAAAGAATCATGAAGGGGATTAAAATACAATATGCACTTAATGCAGTTCTAAGGTCATCAGTTATTCAACGAAATACCACGATTACCATATAAAACTTTGATGTTCACAAAAAAAATAAAAGAAAATCTTTGGTCCAATAAATGGAGACGATGATTGGAGAATTCGATATAACAAGAACTGAGAGAATTATTCAAAAACCTGGATATTGTGAGATTTCTAAAGATCCGAAGACTTTAGTGGGCTGAACGCGTGGAATGAATGGTCAACTGACCATAACCGATCAAAGGGATCACCTTGAACGCTATGGGAAGCTAGCATAAAGAGGGATGCTTTGAAGTACTTGGAGAAAGGAATTGGCGAGCGGCTGCGATGAGTAGGAGTTTTTGAAGGCAAAAATTGAATGTTTAAGGTTCAGTCTAGGTTGTAACGCCACTGGAAGAAGAAGAAGATCTTTAGACTTAATCAGTGCAATTAATTAAAAAGAAGCAAAAAGTGTCTATTTTATCTTTTGGTTGAAGAGACATGTTAAACATGTTTTTGCCACTTAAGATTCAAAGGCAGATACTAATTAGAGTGATCACTGCTCACAGGACAATATCTACAGAGGCGCTACTCGTTCTAGGAGACTCACTACCTATCGACCTGATGGTTAAAAGAAGAATTGCATATACGGAAGAAGAAGGAGGAGATGTAGAGGACATTATAGCGGAATGGGCAAGTAAGTGGAAGGACAACACTGGGAAGGCAGGATGGTCAAAGAAAATCTTACTCGACATAATACCATGGTTTTCAAAGAAACCTATGAAAGTTAACTGTTTGCTTTTTTGTTTTTGTATTTTTACATGGTTATGAGTCATCCATGCCAGAAGAAGGAGTAAAACGACGCATAGTGCCCTAAATCGGTTATGGCCAAGAGTCCGAGAAGTGGGTCCATATACAGAGTGTTGGAGAAAGAATGTGAAGTGTTTGGGGAGGTCGACATAGCTGAGAGATGGTGGAATGTCAGACGACTGGGGGGACGGAGCAGAGAGATGCGGGAAAAAAAGAAGAATTGGTGTGTATGAAGGAGAAGAGGATACAGCGTCGAGGATACAGGCCAAAGTTTGAAACGCGCAAGCGTATTTCCGGCCCGTCTGCAGAGATCTAGAGGACGTTTTTTAGAGGATGCGAGCCCTTCACTCTGGCGTTGAGCCAGGTCGGCTGCTAGAGCTTTTTCCCCCTGTATAAAAAAATGGGTTGAGTTGGGTTGGGTTAGATTGGGTTGGGTTGGGTTTTGAAGTATTCACCTTGCGATTAATATAACAGGCAAAACAACTTCAAAGGTAGAAAATCAGCTTTTTTTGTAAGTAAAGTAGTACGATTGCTAGACGTTATTAAAGATAAAGAAGCAACCTAATAGAGGAAGATAGCAGTATTACAAGGGAATAGTTACTTGGAGCAGAGGTACATTCATGGACATATAGTTTAATGGTAGTATAATGGCATGATATCTCATTGTATTCTTTAGGGTTCTTCTTTCTTGAGTAAATTAGATAAACTTCAGCTCCTATAACAAGTAAGGATAGCAAGATTACTGGATTAACGGCTCCAAGCGAGTTCCAAAGTTGATCGTGCCTCTCTTGCCAGAGTTAGTTAGTTGAGCCCACTCAATTTCGCCTAACTTGATATTATCAATTTTGCAATAAGGCAGTTCTCGTTGCACGTCCATTGATTTGGTTCAACTGAAAGGTTTGATTACGGATATTGGTAACATGTGCTTCCATGCATTCATGTCTCCATTCCACAGAAAGTTCCTTAACTTTTTGAATCAGGTGGTTTGCATTGTTTCGTCGTCTTACTTCTCTCCACATTGAGTTATTGCGTGTTCTTCTCAACCAACTTCTTCATGTAATATTAGGCACAGATGAGAGTATCCTTAGAGAAGGTATGCGGGAATTAAAATAATTGCTAAATCACGGTGGTATAGGATAAAGAAATAGTTAAGTGCAAGTTTCCTTGTACAACTAACAAAATTATGACAAGAATTAATAACGATTCATGAACGAATTTAGTTGAATTAACTTTTGGAGGCGGATATAAGAGACATGCTTTTCTGTCTCGACCAGGAACAGGATTGAATCGCTAATGATAAGAGTTGTAGTGGTGTGGAGCGAGATGAAGATAGAGAAATATTCTTGAAGTAATTTTTTGCCGATCTTTTTAGGTTGGTAAAATAGTAGGGTTAGATTTGGGTATGGATGCATGAAACAAAATTTTATTTTTAAATAACACGGTTTTAGTTTTTTTTTCATCTATAACTAATAATATATGTGGTGTTTTACGTATCCAATCGTGACAGTGAATAAATTTAGTACATTCCAATAATCTTGCAACATGAAAAGCAAGGAATTGTATGAGACATCGTTATTGTTTGCCATTCTTATGCTGAAAGCGTTGTCAATTCTATACCTAGCGTTATTTACGCTAAACGAGTCATCTTAAACAATATTACTTATCCAGTTTCCTTGCAGAAACGTTAAGGTTTTCTTTCTGCTTTGATGTCCTTCCCAAATCCTTTTGTGTTACAAAGAGACACGTTTTATTTATAAAACTGGGTTTATTGTAAATTGTTTCATTAGAGGTAATTAGATAAAAATGGTCTAATGTGAATTTGTGTATACGCAGATAAAATTTAATTCGTTCAAGGATGTAATCTTTCATTTAACCTGAGTTATGATTCATGCATTACTCAACATACCAGCTTTACGATTTTAAAAGGTTTTAAACATTTTATGAAAGATATAATTTCTAATCTAAAACTTTCTATTCTAAATTATTTGCTTAGATTCTTACCTTATTATAAGTCTCCAAAGCTTTTAATATGTTATCATTCTTAAGATGATTATTAGCCTCTTCAAAAAGAACATGGGCTAATTTTTTCTCCTTAGCGACTCTTAACACAGAATCGCTCCTATTTCTCCTTCCCATAACCGTATCCCAATGAAATAATCACCTAAAACGACGACGACTCACGTGTATTACTCCATATACCACATAAACAACCACATCATTTCATCAAATCCACGCATAATTTCTCATACGATTTATATTCACGATTTCTTCAGCGATTGCGATTCGCCATCGCATGTTAATGATCGTTCCAAAAACTCGAATAAATCACTGGGGAACGGGTAGACCCAAAGTTATTTGATCAATCCGATTAACGTTGCTTAATTTTTTCGCTTTCTTTGTCTGATAATTTTTTACTTGAATATGTCGTTGTTATCGATCTAATAATAATGGACGAGTTTTGTACGAAAACGTGATTTCGCGTCTGTGTTATCGCACTTTATGATGGTAAATTCTGTGAAGCCGAACTCGCGTAGCATGACACGGGGCAATGCAATGTGTAATTTTCCTCCCTAACCAAATGGGGAACGTTTTAAAGTTTATTGAATACAAAGGTTTTGGCGTAATCATATTGCATGAAGTTTATTTGAGGTAAAATGCATTATAACGTTTTTTTTTTCTGGTGAATTTATTATTTTTAGATTTTTTTTAATGATTGTTAGTCACCGTATGTTAATTTGAATTCTAAAGTGTCTGTAGTAACCGCTAACCATTGAAATCTAAATGACTCAGGACAATTGCGAGAACGAGGCGTTTATGACGATCGTGATGAGTTTAGATCGTCTGCGAAATAGTTGTAGAATTGAGATTTATTGGTGTTAGTTGGTGTTAGTCATTTAGAAACATGGTGACTTAAGACGTTTATAAAATTTAAGTTTCTATTTTTGTTGACCCACTTTTATATGTGAAATAAAAAAGTTAGATTATGATCTCTTTTAGAAATCGTTTTAATAATCAAATTAGTAATGAAGTCATAAAGAGGTTTAAATGAATTAAAATTGTA